TTCTGCTTCGACGATGGGCACGCCTGTCCACCCTATGACATAATCCCACATGTGCTGGGAACGGGAGTCATGGTCACCCTGCCTGCATACACATGGCGCTGCTGCACTACGGGATGGCGTTTTGTTAAGGATGATGCAAGTCACCCTTTTTTTTGTTTGTTGGCAATGCACACCTCGCATGTGATTGCGTATTTGTGCAGACCTGGTATGACGCGTTTTGAACGAGGGAGTCGGTGCACCTTTGAATGTGCCTTCTTGCAGTTTTAAGTATTTTCCTTAGAAACATGTCGTTTCAGGTCTCATGCCTCCATCTGAAGGTAGGGTAGAAAAGCCGTGTTGACAAGGGATTTGTATCATCGACTAGATTCAACGTTGCTTCCACATATACATCATGGGGCTTATGCTGTGTGCTCTTTCGAGTCGAAGATGTTTGATTGTGACACACCCAAGCACATCTTACGAGTGAGCTCCGTGGCCCTTGGATCCATTAATGGTTCGCTGTTGGCAGATGTTGTTCTTCGCATCGAAAACATAGTCACCCCGTCCATCGTGTTCTGATAAGTAGCACAAAGACGGATTCTTGTGTAGTGGTAGTATATGGAGAGTTTGTCTTGCTTTAGTCGTGATGCGTGGTAGACATGCATAGCACGAGGAAGGCTGGGGTTAAGAGTAGGAGTGAAACTGGTATTGTTGTCTAAGACGGTTAGTTTATATCTTTGCGTAATGGTGTCGGTCTTGTTGCTTTGCTTGTAGCTCTTGCATCGATTTGGATGACATGGTAAGAAAGAGATGAGAAGGGGAACACGCTACAAGTGTGCATAGAGTAGTGTCAGAGGTATTTGTCTAATGGTTATAAGTACCACTGATACATTTTTGACAGACATGGCTGCTCTTGTAACGCATACAAGGATGTGCAATGTAACATGCTACACAAAGCAGCAAAAGCAAGACATTCAAAACTCAATCCCATATTTGCATTCAACCCTATCTGTTACAAGAAGAACAAGAAGCAATTTTCCTCGAAATCTTATCCCACGTCCATCAAACACTTCGTACTAAACGGAACTTCCTCCCTCATCTCATTCAACCCACACCAACCTCACCACCACCCCGCAACCCCAAAACAAAATTACATCTACCTCGCTACTATCCCCTCATACCACTCCTCAAACACTTCTCTCTCTCCAACACTCTACCCGCCACACCCGCCAAGCCCACCACACTACCCTCTCAATCAAGCAAATCAATCAACAACCCACTCACCCTCGCATTCCCCCACCTCTCCCTCACCATAACCAACACCCCAAATCAATCTCCCATGGTGACATTAATCAACCCAAAACCAGTAACAGCGGGGTAAACTAACCACCAAACCCGTAAACCATTCCAAACATCAGATAAATTAACCCATCACGGGGTATCCTTACGCTAGCGCGGCCAAGCAAAATTCGTCTATGAAACAAACTTGAGAAAAAAGAAGCGAGAGCGAGATCAAGAAATGAGATCAAGGACTATACATGTGCATGGGGTGAAATGCTTTGTTGCAGATTCAAACACACACACACACACACACACACCGTATACTTGTAATGTGAATCACTAGTGTAGTAGTCTACACTCACCATAACTCCTGCGGGGAGTTAAGTAGTAGTAGTAGTAGTAGTAGTAGTAGTAGTAATGGTAGGAGAATTTCAAATTACAGGCCTTGGATGCCTAAAGCACACAAATGCCGTTGTACACTCTACCCCATTCTTATTACTACACTAGGCTCTTTCCTCGTATAACTCCCCTAGGGTGTGTTTTGACGCTAGACCTGTCAACCTGTCGCACGTTGTCAAGCCCATTTCCCATGTTTTGTTTTGTTTTGTTTTGTTTCACATATTCACGCCCAACCCTAAGCCACATGCACACAGCAATGAAGAAAAATAAAGACAGTAAGTTCTATATTCTATTAAACAAAAAAATCACTAGCTATGTACTTAGATACGCAGTAGTAGTAGATATACCCAGGGTTGTACATGGTTATATAAAATATGGAAAAAATATTTCTTGTCATTTGGTCATATCGAAGAAAAAAAGAGAAAAAGGGACAAACATAGGTATCAAACAAGCCCCATACACAAGTGATTCTCCCAGAGAATATAAAATGTTTGTAGTGTTTATTTGTTGTTGAGGTCGTGAAGAGGTGAAAAAAAAAATCAAGAAAAAAGTAGATGCAAAGCAAAAGAAGCCAAAAAGGGGGAGGGGGACGATGCGGATAAATTTTTCAGAAGGATTTCCATTTCTAAAAGATTGTTTCTTTCCCTTTTGTTTCTTTCTCTCTTTTTCCTTTCTCATCTGTCTTCTCCCTGGGAAAGATTTCGCAAATAAACAAGAACGGGGGGAATACATTTCGTCAGAGATTTGTGGTAGAGGGAAGATACAAATGGAAAGGAGAAAAAAAGAGAACAAAAGAAAAAAGATCCAAGAAGAGATTCAAAATCTTCTTAGTGCTTGCCAATGTTGCGACGGTGAGCGTGCGCGTGGCGGCGGCGCATAGGGTCGGTGACGTAGACCTCGACCTCCTTGATGGCAACAACGTAGACAACGCCATCCTTGGTGTAGGTGGTGGTGCTGACGATGCCGTCATCCTTCTCATCGCCCTTGGGAGTCTCCTCCTTGACGGCCTCCTTGGGAGGCTGGGCGGCGGGGGTGATCTCAGGGTAGCTGTTGTACTCAGCAACGGGGGTGGGCTTCTCGGCGACGTTGTAAACGGAGATGCCACCTGGGCCCATTGAGCGAGCAGGGGCGTACGACAGGTTAGGCAGAGAGACTGACGAGAGAGTAGGCTTAACCTCGGGCTCGTCCTTGTCACCAGAGGGGGGAGCGTTGGGCTTAGCGTACTCGGGTCCGTACTGGATGGGGTTGTTGCCGCATAGAGACTTGGCAGGGCCTTCACAGTCGTCGCTGTCGAGGAACTTGGGGAGCTTGGCAACCTTGCACTCGTTTTGCTTCTGCTCAGACTGGAGACGACCGGAAAAGACGGGGCAGTCTTCGGTGCGACCAGAGAGGTTGGTGCAAGTGTCAACGGCAGATTGGAGGGTGTCAATGTCCCATCCGTTCATGAAATCGGCGTGGTAACCGCAGCCTGTTTTTGTGTCAGATGTGCTTCAAGGTTAAAAAAATAGATTGATAAAAAAAAAACATACCAGTAGGGTCACCATTTGACCAGACGAATTGACCAGCCTGTCCCTTGAACGCGTAGGTGTTCCAAATGGTCTCGTAGAAGAGGGTAGGCAGACGAACGGGGAAGCCCTCGGGACATGAGCCACCGTCAAGCATGCTGGGGTAGGCAACGTGGCTCTTGTGGTCAGGGCTATCGAGATCCTTTCCGTTCCAGCATGAGGCAAAGAGCATCTCGGCACGGATACCGTTGGCGCAGTTCTCATCGAGGAACTCCTTGTCGGGGAGGGTGTGGCGGTAGCGCGAGCCCTCGGGAGCCCTGGCGTAGTTGAGGCAGTTCATGCCAATAGACTTTGCAGCGAGGGCGCGCTGGGTCCTGTCCTTGTCGGACCACGAGTAGACTGGGGGGTCAGGTACAGGGAGAGAGAAGTTGCGCTGATGCGGGTCACCAGCAAGCATCATGAAGCCCTTGGGGAAAGCCTTGATGTTGTCGCCCAACAGGAGGTAGTAGGCGAGCATACCACCGACCTGGGGGACAATCTCAGTCTTGCCGTTCTCATGGACAAAGTGCAGCGTCGGGGTCCAGTAGGCCGACTTGTCATCCTCGAACTGGGCAGAGGTGCACTCGGAGTTGCGGAGGTCCTCGTAGGTGGTTGAGGCACCAAAGTCTGTTGAGTGGTATTAGCGAGTCATGTCTCAGAGAGAGAGAGAGTGTAAGGGTTGGACTCACTGTTTCCACCGTGGATGGTATGGGCGTGGGAAGAGGCGACTCCCTTGTCGACGATGGGATCAAGACGAGCAAGAGCAGTGCGGCCGTAGGCAGGCATGCGCCAGAAGGCATCGGCAGAGCCGGCGAGTATGGCCGCCGCAGCGGAGAGAGAGGCGACAGACTTCATTGTTTGCTGGCACGAAGTGGCTTGGTAATCGTGATGGTTTGTCGGAGTGTGGTCCGGGTAGCAAAGTCGATTAGAATATGGTCAAACGGCCTGGGGCTTTCTGATCCGGCACGAGTGTTGGAAAAAGTATTGCAGACGCAAGAAATGAGTGTAGCGCTGTCGCGAAGACAGCAGGAGGAGTGGTAGCGAGTGTTGGGGGAGGGTGGTGGGCGTGGGGAGGGAGAGAAGCCAAAGGAGTGACGAGCGAAGGAATAGACGCGACTAAGGGCAATAGAAAAAGAGCGAGGGAAATGGAGCCTAAGGAACACAAGCGGTTATGATGCTGGGGGCCGTGCAGTGAAGACGCTTTTAGGGGAGATGAAGGAATGCTTTGAGTTAGCGAGAATGAAACTCGGGCTAGCGGGATAGCAGGGGGGTCCCTGACAGGACGCAAGCGGGCATGTGGTTGGTCCGTGGCGTAGTGAGCACCGGCGGCTAGCCCTAGGATAGTAAGATGAAACATGGCAGTAAGGGGATCTATGTCATGGATTGCGGCGAGGGGGCGCGGGTTGGCAGTCGGGTTCAACCAAACGGCGTTGAGCATGGCAGCACCATGAGCAGCCGTGGGTGGAGCCGCGAATGCTTGGTAGTGGGTGGGCAGAGGGGCAGGGGGGCCATGGTGGTGGTGGTGGTGGTGGTGATGGGAGGATGGTGAGGTAGACACGGCATTCACCCTCGCCGCCTTGGTGCCTCTGGCCTCTGCTTCACCACGCAGCAAGCGGCTTGGTCAAGCAACTCGGCCCACCCAGTCATTCGCCAAAGACTGCTGGCGTCGACGGTTGCGCCTAGCAAGAGTTATGACGGCGCAACCCATCCGCAGGCAGCGTGGCGCAATCTGTACATACAGCCGGACCGGCAGTGTTTTTGGGGCAGAGGATTGGCCTGTCGTCGTCGGGACCTAACATGGTGGCCCAGCAGGCCGTGCGCGCCGGTGCCAGCTATCGCAATCTCCTCTCCTCTCCACTGTGTGCCCATCACAATGGCCCTGCGGCTACGGCCAACGGCAGCCATGTCATGCTGCCTCCAGCTCTCCGCCATGATTGCTCGCCTGGGCTGCCCTGGGGGGCAAATTGGGCCGTCGCAGGGGCGCTGCCTGTCGCACTTGTGGTGAAGGTGCGGGTGCTGGGCTGGAGTGAGTGGTCCATGTGTAGTGGCATGTACATACAGACCATGTCCAAGTATGTATGAATTTGTACACATGTAAGTAGTAGTATGTAAGTAGTAGTATGTAGGTAGGTAGGTACAAGGTGGCAGCGGGCTGCCGTCGTGTCGGTGAGCACGAGGTTCAGTTGGCACGGGAAAGCGGGACAGGAGATTACGCCAATCGACCCCAAGAAGACCTTACTGGCGCGGCAATACTGCGGTCAAGCGCTGACTTGCTCGCCCGACCTCTTGAGGCTACTCTGCCTCCTCGTCGTCGGCTTCGGCGTCGTCATACGTATCGACGACTAAGTACTGTGGACACGGCCATGTCGGCACGCTCCAGGGCGTCCTTGCTGCTAGTGGGTTGCACGGCCTCTGCGTCTCTTTGCGCAAGGCCAAATTCAAATCTTACTTTTGTTTACTTACGTACAAGGTCAGATATGGGAGTGGAAATATTTGTACACTACATGTACTTACTTGGCTGTGTACTTGGAGATACATGTAATTAATACATACATACTTAGTGAGCTTTCCATGGCTATAGCATCGCCCCTCGCCCCTCGCCCCTTCGGTGACATGCAGCCTATGGGCCGGCCAAGCGCTGTTCCTGCAGTAGCGCAGCCATCCAACTCGGCTGGCTAAACCACGTCGTGCTGCCTGATTTGCCGGTGCTATTCTCGCCGCTTATGCAAACTCGATCCTCTTGCTCTCTTGTCAGCACCCGCCCTGCCCATACGAACCCCCTTCCGCCCTCAACCCACCTGAGCAGCCAACCAAGACTCGACAAATCTACAGCGAGATTACAACGCGACCTGTTGCGCTGCTACTCTCCCATTACACTTCATCTCTGCCCTGCCCTCGGCATCACCACCCCGGCCTCACCTCCACCATAGAGTCATCACGCCAGAGGCAACTGTCATCCCGTGGTCCAAACAGAAGCCCACAACTCGCCTCTTCCTCGTATCTACCACCAAAAACTGATCAAGAGAGCGAGATGGCGAGAGGGAAAAATCTCGCCCCGTCGGCTCCTTTGTGCCTTGGGTCCAACTCCCCTTCGCCCCTCACCTGCCAGCACCTACCAAAAAACAACCGTCATTTCTATCCAAACCTGCTATTCCTGCCAACCGTCTCACATGGCACTCGTCTGACCAGCCCGCCTCCCCTCCCTTGCCTCCCTTGCCTACTAGATCCACCCCCAACTCCTTTTTACCCGTGCCCCATGCCCTTCTACATACTCACTTACTCCTCCATACACCGCCCCGCACCAGCCTCTCACACGACCTGGTAACAAGTGCTCCCTCCCACTTGCACATTTGAATCGAACCCAACACCACATGCTCATCGGGTGCTAGTTTCCTAGACCCTCCCCTTCCTCGCCTCACCAAACACCCTTTCAACCCCCTCGAATTTCATTTCTGCCCTTGTCTCTTTCCCGCCTTGCTCTCTCGGCCGGCCCACGACCCAATGAAAACGACATTCTGGAACACTCAACGTTTGTAGTATCCACGGCTAAAGACATGCAAGAAAAAATGGTAGTCTGGAGTCGATCATGCCCCCTTACCCGTCCCATGCTCATGTGCGACACCCTCACACGTGCGCGCATGCGGCACGGGAAGAAGGGACGGAAAGGAGATGCAAGTATCATCTTCTGCGCATCATCTCCTTGCCTTGGCTTCCTTTTTCATCCCTACTCTCTTTTGTGCACAATGGAAAAGAACAAGTCCCGAGGCACGAGCTAGTCTATCGCTGCTAAGCCCGACGCCACGCGGGATGTGTTGATGATCTACGTAGATAGGGTTTGGTACCTGGCTTGGCTTTTTGGCGTCCGAGGCGTTCGTGCCAGGTGAGTATGTAATCGTGTTCTTCGAGTGAACCATTACACATACGCTTGGATTGATTGATTCACCTGGCTTCTGCTGGTTCATGGCTTCGCATCCATCTCGTGGTATCACTAGATCATTGCGTTGAGAGAACACAACCTTGCAATGCGCACCTATGCAACCGTCCCCACGCACCATCGTGTCTCCCCAACGATAACTATACTCCTAAAAAAGAAGCAAAAAAAAGCGGATCTCGCTCGCCGCTCATCCGGCTGCGATTGCAATAGCGTCAATCGATAAAAAAAACCCGCACGCACACACATTTTCTCAATTGCATTAATACCCTTTAGCCCCGGGGGGTCCATGCCTGTACTTTGTAGTTATTGATTCTTTTTTTGGAATGCGGCCTACAAGGCTTATGCACGCCTTACCTCCTAACTACCCCATAACCCCCCCCAACATAGGCAACATCAAACAAACCAAAAAAAAATCCCATGAACCAAAATTAAACCAACAATCTGATACACTTGTTTAAACTCAAGTTGGACACTTTGAAAACCAGCCAAGTATGCTGTTAGAAAAGCTCCCCCCAACGGCATACCTTCCTACATTTCTCTTTCTCTCCCTCTCTCTCGTGTTCGAAAACCGCACTGCGGCTCTTGCGATTCCCGAGACCTCGCTCAACACTACTACGGTACGTACGTAGGCACTACTTACAGCCATGTTTGGTCGCATGTTGCCCTGAACACGCTTTGCGCCGTATTGCACCGCACCGCCCAACTCGCTACACATAGCCCATCTGCATGCGCATGCGCATGCGCATGCTTTGCGAGCACAAGCCTAACTCGCGTGAGTATTGTCGCGAGTTTGCTTCGCACTCGCTTGTGAAAGCACCTTACTGCAGGCTGTCGTGCGGGACGGACGAAGCGTGTACGGAAGCGCAGTCGTTAGGTAAGAAGTCGCACGAAGACGCACACGCACACGGCGATGTTGGTTCTAGACTTTGCATCCCAACAGGCGGCGCTGTGTGCGCGGTGAGAGAGTGTAGACGGGTGAGAGCAAGACGGACAAGGAGAAGACGCTGGAAGGTAGATCGCAGTACTTTATATCAACATATATCAACATTGCGGTTAACTATGTTATTTTATTACTGACATAGCGATGGGATGGGATTAACACACTAACATCATCTATCTTCTTCTCCTCTACCACAACGTACATCGCATACCCTATACATATCTTTTTCCGATACTTTCCTTACCACCCTGCCTGGATCCCCTTCCCACGCTCAACCCCTCACACATACTACCCTAGACTTACAACAAATACATCTCCGTCAACCCCCTTTACTGCATCCTCTGCATCCAACCATCCACGTCAATCTCCCAAATACATACTCAGATCAAGTCATGCAACTGACTTCACATATCCTTTCCTCTCATGATATATGATATTGAACGGTGCCGGCAGATGGCTACAATCTTTAATTGTACGACCTATACACTGACAGCAATTCCCTGATAACTCGTAAACACCACGCTATGCTACATCATAAAATAACACAGTCATATTAGCCCGTCCCACAAACTTCACAAGTTCTTTGCACCTGTTCGTCCATCAGGTCTAGTACTTCTTCGCCTCCATGCCCTCTGGCGGCTCAGGTACCACTTTCCTGTTCCCAACATTACTCCAGTCGGTACTCAGCACTGTGCCGCCGCTCTCAGAGTAACTCTTCATCATAGCCCGTTGTTGCTCGGGCGTAGCTCCGCTGTACAGCTGCTTGAAAAAGTGCGATGTCTCGTCCCCTTCGATTTCGTCCTTGTCGTCGAGATCATTGACCACCACCTTGTCCCAGTTCTTGGTGCCCGATTTAGACGACGTAGGATATGCGGGGGCGGTCTCCTTTACAGGAGCGACAGAAGAAGATGCTTGTGACGTGATGGTGGCTACTTCGCCCTGGGCACGCTCGAGGCTGTGCCACTTCACACCTGGTGTTGCCTTTCGGAGCGTCACCTCGATCTTGGTGGGTGTTATTCGGTACTTGGACTGCGAGGGGTCGATGGATGCAAAGAGAGGGTCGGCGTTGTAGCTGTATTCGGACGACGAGTCGGCAATGGGGAAAGAGACGGAGACAGCCTCTTGTTCAATTTCTACAACAGCTTTGTCCTTGGGCACACCCTTGGCCATGATGTTCAGAGTGACACTATCATGGGACTGGTACCAGTCGGTCTTGATCTTCTCTTTGGGCGTCGGCGCGGGAGGCTTCGGTGCCTGGGTTGTTGCCGTGTCTGCGGTCTTGGCTGGGGCGGTGGGTGTGGGTGCACTGGGTATTTCCACGTCCGGGTCCTCCTTAATCGTGACTGTCCTCTGCTCATCATTCTCTGGCACATCTTTCAACTTGGATGCGACCTTGGCTTCCCAAATTGGCAACATCTTGTCCTTTTCGTCAAGACCTTTTACTATGCGCAAGAGAAAGTCTGCGTCCGCATATTTGCCAAGGTGGTAGAGTGCAACGGCGCGTCGAAACTGGGCGTCCTTGATGAGCTCGCGTGAGCCGCGCTTTTTGGCAAGGACAACTGCGACGTCGGCATCATGAAGGGCTTCGGGGAACTTGGAGGTACGCTGATAGGCTGTCGAGCGGCCGATGTAGTATTTTACGGCGGTCGGATTGACACCAAGGGCCTTGGTGTAATGCTCAATGGCTTCGTCGGGTTTGCTTGCGCTGAGAGCAGCGTCACCTTTGCGGGCGTCGTCCATTACGGCAGAATTGCGAGTAGTAGAGAAGAAGAAGAGCAGTCAGAATGGTGTGCAAACCCCGTCAAACGTGTTTTCTCAGTGTGGTGACAGAGATGCACCAATATTGGCGGCTAGGTGGTGTAGAAAGCGCCATGACAAGCGTAGAAGCTTCCATGGCTGCCTTCCCCAAACAAGGGTCCCAATATCCTACCGCCGCACTAGTAATAACCACCCAGCCCTGCCACAAAAGGCGGGGTTTGGTGGCAGGGCAACAATACATCATCAGCGCCGGATTTGGAAAACAACTTACTCGTATCAACCCAGCTGCATAGACTACGCGCGCCCTAGTGGAGTAGTCTCTGTATTGCATATGACATCACTAAAAACAAATACGCGGAAAGTATACTCTTCACAATGCATATTCAAAATCAAATCAGGTCGTGTGATGTATTACTACACAACGAAAAAAAAGGCTAGGCGCCTGCAATGACTGACAGGTATATGCAATGCCGAGCTAAGGGCTGTCAAAGAAACTCCAGATACAAATAGGAAAACCGCTACACTTGTACAAATCTATACGTGTGCATCCTCGCACCCTCACCTACCCCATGCCGCATACGCCCCGACTCGTCATTCCATCTAAAACAAAAGCACAGCGCCAAAGATAGTGCTCGCAGCAACCATACCGATGATGCGGAGGGGCACCTCGAGGCCAGCAGCAGCACCCTGGCTGTTACCGGCAGAGCCAGTGGAACCAGGTGTAGGAGCACGCGTGGGCTCGCCAGATCCAGGCTGGGCCTCAGACTCGCTGGGCTCACCGGCGAAGTGCGAGCCATCGCCAGAAAGACCAGGACCTGAGCCGGCACCCTTGTCCATAAACGCAGCAGCCTTCTTGGGGATCGATGGGAGGTTGGTACCCTTGACTTGCCAGTCGTCAGACTCGTCAGGGCACTTGGAAGCACTGCCGTTCTCCTTGAAGCCGCCGTCGTCAGTGGGGTTGGGGGTGGCCTTGAGGGCCTTGGCAAGACGGTCGAAATCCGCGTTGGGCTTGATGTTGCCGTCAGAGCCAACCTCAACGAGACCGTAGCCGTTAGGCTCGACAGTGTACTCGTAGGCAAGACCACCAGAGTAGACACTAGTCATGTTCTTGGAGTACAGAGCAGCAATCTCACCCCACTGGCGGGTGTTGGTGATGCAACCAAACTCGGACAGGAAGATGGGCTTGCTGTAGTTGCCATATGTCTTGACTTTCTTGTCCCAGCCGGACTGTGTGAAGGATGAAGGGTCGCACCAAGAGTAGTCGTTGAAAGCGAAGAAGTCAGAGCGCTCGTCGTCGGTACCGCAGTTGAAGTACGTGGCCTGCTGCTCAATGTTCTCAGTGACATCGGCGGCAGAGTATCCAACAGGGATGATACGCTCGTGGCGGTTGGAGATGTACTGCTTCATGTCACGGGTGACGGCCTTGATGTAGGGAGCAGCGTTGGAGTTGTTCTTTGCGTTGATGACCTCGTTTCCGGAAAAGAAGAGCATCAAGTTGTTGTACTCGGCGAAAGCATCAACTGTAGCAAATACGGACTGGAGGTACACATCGTTGTACGAGGTGTGGAGGGTATCGGCGTTCTCACGGTTGAGCGAGTACTTGGGGGTGTTGGCGTCGAGAGCTAGGTAGATGCCGGCATCGTCAAGCATCTTCATACCCTCATCGTGGTTCTTGGAGTTGTCGATTGTGTAGATACGGACAGTGTTGATACCGAGCTTCTTGAAGTTGTCGACATCGCGCTTGAGTGACTTGAGGTCGAGCAGAGGATCCTGTGCGTCGGCGGCACCACCTATGTATAGGTTAGCATCACTGTAAATAGGATGATCTGGCGCAACAACATACCGGGCTGGTAGGCGACACCGCGGACGTAGAAGCGCTTGTCACCAGCGAAGAAGGCATTGCCCTTGACGGTGATTGGGGTCAGGTTGCCCTTTGCGGCGAGTGCGGGAGCGACGGCGGCTCCCAGGAGGGAGATGATAAGGCAGGCCTTCATAGTGGCGGATTGAAGCGAAGATGGATTAAAACGAAGAGTAGAACAAAGCAGTTGGAAGTCTTAACGAGTGACTGGTAAGTAGGAAAAGGAATCCTCACACAAAGAACATTGAACGGAGAACGAGGAGCCGGGATGGCAAAAGTATTTGAAGCAGGAGCACCCCAATTTCTTGGTAACCCCCGAGTGCTACATGTGGAACTCGCCAACCCCCGTAGTTTGTCTGGCGCTGATGCGCGCCAAGTCGTCGAGTGTTGGCGCGCCGGCAGGAATGGCGGATACCAAGCAGCCAAGTCCATAGCCTTGGATTAGCAAAAGACCGCCCAGCCTTGGTCAGGGGCAACAGCGCTGTTAAGTGGCAGGGCCAGGTCCATGACGAGACTCTAATAACAAGTGAATTGCGCGTCCGCTGCCGTTTCGCTCGACAGCACAGCCTCGTTGAGTAAATTCAAGATTTGCCCGTCTGCAAATCCATCGTGTTGGCCGTGGTGGCCCCCCTCACTTGGAGCCGCACACGGCTTGGGGGACGATGGCCATCGACGGCCACTGCAGCGCATCGGGAAATTGGACTGAAAAGGAATGCTTGACCATGTGTTATGAAGGGTTGGCGACAGCACAACTACCGTGGCATGGCTTCGCTGCTCTTTCGTATCTCACTGCCCATGGCACTGCCGCTCCGTTGTTGTTGTTGGTGCTGCTTGCGGCCCGGGGGAGATCTGAACATCAGTCTAGGCGACAAAAAGTAACGCTGCGCATGTGCATGCAGCATGCGTCAACAACTAAGCCCATTGAGTGACGGAATGGATACGTACGTTTCTTTGTATGCACATACATACATACATACATACATACATACATACATATGCATGGAGATCCGCGAGGTTGGTGGTGGAGGAATGGCTGGGTTGACAGTTGTTGCGCGTCTGGGGCTTGGGTTGGGACTGGTTGGCTACCGTACCACGGCGTTAGAGATGTTCCGCCCGCCTGCCTTCTCCGCCACGCAATCATTTCCTACACCTGCACCGCACCGCCAGCCCCACGTGACATACTACCAAATCCACGCGCTATCCGCTGTGCATTTTTTTTTGAACCAGCACCCCCATACTTCTCTGGCCCTTCAGCCATGTCAAGCCTTGCCCAGCATCCTGCTGAGACTGGCCTGTTGTCTCCTGCTACAACAAATGACAGATGTCAATGGTTTCGGCGGTATCTTTTATTAGATACGAAACTTCATCCCTGAGCATGGGCACACCTCTGCTATGACGTCTCTTGCTTTCTTTTACAAGCCTCTTCCCACTTGTCTCTTCGTTTACCCTCAGACCTCGGAGAGAGCCCAACAGCCTACGTGTGGTTGAATATGCAATGATCAAGCCTTTCAACAGTCTCAACACTCCTCCACTGGTTGCTATACGGTCTCCTTCCCGCTTGAGCGTCGTGCCGTTAGTAGTGGCTTGTCCGATCTTTAACGGGCCGAGATCAGGACTACATCTTATGCACTCCGAGCCACGCTCCCAGTCTAGCTACTTCAGAAGGTTGCGCACTCGAATAGCTGCTGCCGCTAACACTGTACTAGCTCATAAGTCTGTTTGCGATTCGCGCTTGAGTGGCGCTGCTACAATTAATTATCGACGACTCCATGATCGAGTAAATTAAATGTTGCAGAGTCTGCTACAGAGTCAACTCTGTTGAGTTCCTCGGTCGGTATGACCATGCGCACGTGCTTTGATTTGGTGACGTCCAGTACGCCCAGAGTGTCTCCTAACTCAGTAACTGGTATTGCCTCATCCGTGCGCGTCCAGGTTCCAAGACCGAGGTTCTCATGCGCTAGGCGTTGCAGTTGTAAGGTGGATCCGGCTTGCCACTCAAAGTAGCTGTATATCAGCTTTGCACTGCGTAGGCGCGGATATCGTAAAAAAAGAGCGAAAAGTTCCTCCACGAATGCCGATGTGAGCATCAGCGTGCTTCCTACGATAAGTATTACACCTAAGGTCCAGGCGCTGAAAGAATAGTGCTTGGACGAACGCATCTTCTGTTGTCGCGAATATCAGTGCAGGCAGGCTAAACAGGGTCATACACAAACCTGGCTATGACATATCCTCCGGCACATCTTTTCGCCCTTGCAGAGTGTGCTCCCGCTAATAGCAAACCCTCTAGCATGCTCGACCATCATAGATTGTATAGCAGCGAGACTCGCTTTGTATACGTGTTCGCGCTCGTCTTGCCACCGGTCCTTTGGTATAGTTGCTACCTGCAAATTAAGCAGTACAGTACTGCGTGATAGAAGGGTTGGTGAGTTCGGTAGCGTATAATAGGAATCTAATAGGCCAGCGCCTTGAGTGTTAAGTGCAACCACAAATGCGCGCATCGCAAATTGATCGTTCGCGTCTGGCCAGGCGCTTTTGAACAAGTCCAACGAAGACTGAGGATCAGATATAGCGAAACCATCAATGCATCCGACATTTTCAGGAAGGTTCGGGTTGCAAAATGACCTCTGATTTACGCAACCCAGTACACCAACAGGTTCATCAGCAGCAAAGTAATGTGTGACGTTCGCAATGGAAGCAAAAGAACTACTATCAAGGAGGCTTGTAGCCGAGAACCAAGGATCCTTTGTCTTGTTGACGTATAAGACTTCCGAGGCGTCCAGAAATAACAATGACACGGTTGCATTGGGTTTCCTTAGTTCTGGTATGAGCTCAATACTTTCCTTATAACTGGAAATTGCCGCCAGGGCTCTGCTCTGAAATTAGATCTATGAATACAGTGTACGATAAGTCCGATGGGACATACGTGACTTTGTAATTGCCAATAGTCCAGCCGTCAAATGACGGCTTTTCGTGCCTAACGTCAACTGCAAAGATATGACTGCCATTGCCATCAGGTCCATATGTGTTCCCATATCGATAGATCTGTCGAGCCTGGGAGCTATTTGGGGCCATTACAGTGTCGGTGAAGCCAGCTGTTTTCAAAGGTGCGCAGTGTGTCTGATGGCGAAGAGTAAACTGTGGGTCTTGATTGAGGCCCAGGTGTACCTGAGAGTGTAGTAAGCCTGAATCGAGGAGGATGTTACCAAAATCTGACTTGCAGATCTCCCCGGCAAATGGACATGAAGCGTTTCTGTCTGACGTAAAAGGCAATTTTGGTCTTGCAAACGTTTCACATAGTTCGTTCTGGATAGTGTCGCCCCTGTGGTAGCATTGCATCGCATACGTAAAGGCGTCGACAGCTCTCTGACTATGATAAAGCAAGAGGGGCTCCAAGGGAGACAATTGGGAGTCTGGATCGCTGACGTATATCCCACAATTTCGGCCAGCTATCAAAACTTCTTGATTTGAGTTTGTCAAAATTCTCGAGGACAAAAGGCCTGAGCGGATCAGTCATCAACCACAAAAGCAGATTCCATGAACGCACCAGCGGCAACAGAACCAACAGAGATAGCAGAAGCTATTAGGATGACCGGCAGTATACGCTGTTGGCTCCTTTTGGCGCGATCTCGCCAGGCATAGCTGAGTCGACACAGATCCAGCACAGCATTGAGTGCTAACGATTGATTGCGCAAGATGGCTTGTCGCTGGTGGTAGACTCCATCCTGCTTGCCGAGGTTTGACTCAATGGCATATACCAGAAATCGCGTAATCTTCCAGAAGCTACGCGCTGTGGCAGCAATAAATAAAGCGAGAAAGGCTATCACCAGACCACCAGTTTGACGATCAAGTGTAAGGGTCGCGCCACGGACTGTACCAAGTGATCGATTGATCCAGAACCCTTTGTAAATGTCTTCGTCAATGGGCCATGTTGGTAATGTTAGGGACATCATGGGAATGGCTCCAGGATTCCCAGGTATCGAGGCTCTTAGGTGCACGATCGATCAAATGAATGCATTTGGCTATTTCGCTGACCAGCTGAGTCGTCTCTGCTGGGCTGAGATGAATATAAAGTAAGTAGATTGCGTGGCGAGTTTTTGATAATAGGGTCGATGGCTGCGCTTCAGCTGTTCACCTTAGCTTTATGCGTACTATATAAGCTCAGGAAAACACCTGATGCAGGCTGCAGGAAGCTCTACAAAGTCTACCGTAGCTTGCCTAATCGGTACTTGCTAACTACTGGGAGTATAGCCACACTTCTAACTTTTCACCCCATTTCCATCGTCGATCTGCAAATGGACTGATTTAGTAAGTTTAGGTTACTGTCGAAGACGTTATGCATTATAGCTGGGTACGTCGAGTGTTAGGAACGCTCCTTCGAGAGGATAGGGCGCCCCTCTCTACATCTTCATGGGTATTCAGCAAGTTCTAGACACCCGCTGAACCAGAGTTTCTATTGCATTATTTGGTACGTGGCTGAAAGCTGAACACAGAAAAAGAATGGTTGACAGGTCGCCCTCAGGCAGCTGTTGAGAATGCAGGATAGTGCCGGGGCAGTGCCGGGGCAGAGCTGAGCATGGCTTCTTGAAGCCACAATAGCTCGGACCCGTACGTATCTTGATCAGGAAACCCATCGATCGTCCATTTATCGACTTGATTTCAAAATGAAAGCGCCATACCTAGGATATACAGCCTCCTAGCTGGGCGTAATATGTACAAGCTTCTATTCAATCCGAGCACCAGGCTGCTCTACACAGTAGAGGCATGAATTGTAATGTTATGTCAGGACGCTCTCTGTGTGTGATGCGAGCGACACCCCCACGTGACTGAGCTAAAAGAAGAGACCCACACCCATCCTACACATGCTCAACGATGCTCTCCGCGGTTACATCCCGCTTCATACGATGCAAAATTGGTAACGATCGCGCCAAAAGAATGAATCACAATCGATTCACTGCTCTAGACGCCCGACTATAGTTTCAAATATATGCCCGCCTCCACTGCAACAACCGCGCCGCACACGCAGACCCTGGTCGCATAATCGCAACCGACGAACCACAGGCACACTGCAGGCGCCACCACCAAAGGTCGATCGCATCTCCACCACAGCCAATAGCTGCGGCGCTACCCAAAATACACAGCAAACCAGGTCAACAAGGCATACTTTTGGTGTCCACATTATGGTATGATGTGAGTGCGGCGTAGTTGCAAGCGAGATAAATACAGTTGAACAAAAAGGAAGGAACGAAGGAACAGCAAGGATAGTAGTGAGATAAAGAGCAAGGCGAGAAACCCACGTACTGCATGTACTGAAGTCTCACGACACTTTCTATTCTCCAACTATCACGATCTTAATTCCATCCAATCATGTTCAACCCACTCTGTCTCGCAAGCCTACCCGTGCTACTCTGTCAAGCCACCTACCTCGACCCTTCCCTTCTCCAACAAAAGCCACTGATGCATGGCCTACCCTCAGATACTCTATCCGATGTCACTGTTCTACCCCTCACTGTACGTCTCTTACTCCCGCCCAAGAAACACATCCTCATCTCTATCTCTCATCTAACACCGAGAACCAGCTGAACAAGCACCTCCACTACACCTTCTCCTCCCCCACCAACAACCCCACTCCGCTATCCCGCCTCCAAAATAGCGCCGCAGTACACGCCACACACCACGAGCACTCCCGCATCAGTATCGCCATCCCTCTTGACGCTGCACACACAGGCACCGTATCTTTCTCTTTCACATCATCTGGCTTACAAGACACAACCGCCACACACATGACATGGATACCCCAGAACCCCTGGGACGTAGACATGCATCACATCCCCCTCTTCGACGCTGGCGTGCGCAAAGGCGGTATGATAAGTATGAGCGTCGAAACCGCAGTCTTGGATTTCAGCTCTGCTTTCATCACGTTACCTACTGGGCTATGGGATGTGATTGTTCTGGCGACCCAGCCGGTACTAAAGCCGAGTTGGGGACAGGAGAGAGGGCAAGAGGTGATGAGTGTGGAGTGTGAGGCTAGGAGGAGGTTTCCGGATTTGGTGTTTGGGATGGAAGATGAGAGGGAGATTGTGGTTGGACCGAAGCAGTATGTCCTGCAGAAGGGGGATGAGTGTGTGCTCCTTGTTAGGAAGGCAGAGGAGGGAGATGACGAGAGAGCTGTGCTGGGATGGGCGGTTGCGAGAGGGAGGGAAGTCGTGTTTGATTGGGAAGAGGGGAGGATTGGGTTGGGGGAGTTCGACGGGTGAACGTGATGGTGTTCCATATTTTTGACTTTGTTTTAGACATGTGTATGAATAATAGATATCAAAATCGTATTTACTCAATAATCATAATCATAAACCATAAATCATACCTTATACCAACAACAGACTCAACGCTACAGCACTCGTACAAACAACCATTGTCATCCATGCAACCCTCACCCCACTCGCCGCATCCTCATCATCCCCTCCTTTACTCCCATCTCCGACCTCGGCCGATGGATTCCCCTCTCCCTTCCCTGTCTGCTGCTCCCTACTCGTCACACTCCCCACAACACACCTCGCCTCATCCAACGCACCGCCCTTCCCGCCAAACGCCACCCTCGCCGCCTTCTCCCACAATCCCGTCACATTCAAATAATCCCTTGCCTCATACCAAACCCGACAACTCGCACTATCATTCAAAAACTGCGTCGGAACACCCCCACTCTCCAACCCCGCCCTGATATTATCCTGAAAATTGACACCAGCATCCAGCACAGCAATGGGCGGCTGCACCGGTAGAAACGACGACCACTCCGCGAGTTCGGAGCGCGAGTCGGCGAATTGCAGCGCGACGAAGAGGGATATGGCTTCCATGTAGATGGAGGGCAGGACCAGCGTGCCTTTTGTGCCGCCGACGGAAACCATAGGGCCAGCCAGAGGGCGTCCGCCGAGAGCGATGCTGCGGACGCCGGATTGCTGCACCATTAGCTCGAGGAAGACCGCGCAGGTAGATGCGCAGATGCCGTCGGATAGGATGACCAGATCCTCCGCGCGAAAGGGATCGTTGGTGAAGTTGCTGCGATCGTTGTACCCAGTCATCGTGATCCCGACGGCGAGGCGCGTGCTGCTTGTTGTCAGGGGGTCCGAGAGGTTGTACTTCAAGAGCGAAGTGAAGTTGTCGCCTTTGAAGCGTAGCGGCGGGTACATGGAGGCCCAGTCCGGGAATTCCTCGAGCGAGGCGGAGAGGTAGGCGTCGTTGCTGAAGGGGCTGGTGAAGAATTGGCCGTTGCCCAGGGTGATTTCTTCAAAAGAGGAGATGCTTTCGCCGAAGAGTTCGCTGGCGGCGTGGCCGCGGTAGCGGGATTGCGTCTGGGGGACTTGCGAGGGGAAGAATTGAAGGTACGCGTCGTAGCCTGAGAGTACTTTGCCGCCGGGGTTGCCGCGGATGTCGATGATGTGTTTTTCTACGCCACGGGATTTGGATTGAGAAATGTATTCTTGAATTACGCGTTGGAACTCTCGTGCACCTCTGACGTCGGCAGTGTTGAATGTTTGGATTATCAAGACGCCGATTTGGCCTACGTCGGTATTGATGAAGTAGCCGGCGAGAGGTACATTCTCTTCTGTGTGGGCGATGAAGGGTTCGGGGTAGAACAGAGGCACCGAGCCGTACTGTTGCATGGAGGCAGACTTGAAGTCCCGCTCGCGAGGGTTCTTGAGCTGGAGTGGCGGATCATTCATGTCCCTCTTCTTCACCCCGCCGCCAGAGCTAGTCGTAGGAATGCAGAAAGTATTGTAAAACGAGTCCGCATCTCGGACTCTACTCCAGGCCTCAGCATCAGCGACGATAGCAACATTCCGGTACTCGTCGGTCGTCCCGTTCTGGTAGGTAATGTTGGTAGTAGCGCCAGGGAAGAAACGCGGGTTTATAAAGCTTCCGTAGCTCTCTGCTGCTGGCATGAACAGCATGGCATTATAGCGCGTATCTGGATCATGGTATGCTACTAACTTTGCCTCTTCTGCCAAAAACTTAGAAGCTTCTTGACCGTTGATCTTGGTGACAGGAGAAGGCTCGTAAGCACCGTCGGTGTTGTTAAAGTCCGTCAGTGCCCAGATCTGGGGTATTTCGCTGCCATCTCTAGACGCAGAGATGAGTGCAATCTTGCTACTTCTTCGCCATACAAAGACTCCTGCGTATGCCATGCCGTACCAGGCCAGGTGACCGTCGTGTGCTTTGACCATCAAGCTTGCAATGTCGGCTTCAAAATCGTACTCGTTGGCATACCCTCCCGACTCAGCATTACTCTTGATCCCGTCCAGTCCAGATATGATGTCGATAGCCGGATTTGGGTATCCTTGGGGTGGATCCTTGAGATAGGCCAGTGTAGACTGGAATTCCACCATCTTTTTGATCTCATCGACCGTAGTAGAAGCATCTGTCGCATAGAAAGGTAATGACTTGAGACATGCTATCGCAAGCGCAGCCTCTACTACCGGCAACTCTGCACTGTTATCTGAAATAGCATCTGCTATTTGTCCACAGGCCTTGCTAGTCTCAATTGGTCCCGAGATAGGTTCGATTGTGGTAGGCTCTACCTCAATATTTCCGATCGATGTAGGCGTCGGCACTTCTGTTGGCTCGAGAATCAACGATTCTGTATTGTCAAAGGCAAAGCTGCTTGTCTGTGCCGAGACGACTGTTGCGAGCAAGCTTAACGCCGTGAACGGCTTCATAGTCGCCGGACGAATGTCGGACGCGATGCACCGTTATCGGGTTTTGGGTAGAGTCTCCGGTATGGTTTTCAACAAGGCCAGCTTCGTAGTTCAAAGACACCAATTCTCGATATGTTTAGTGGGCTGTAAATAGTTTATCGTTCTCCCTCCTATCTCGTCTTCTGTTTTGCTGGTGTTGGTATTTGATCCTAGAATTCACTTGGGTCTCCAGGATCTCCAGCAACACGTGATTCCAGGCCGAAATCTCACACAGAAGAAAGGTAGAGGTCGGCAAAGTGATGAACACACTATGCAGTTCGGCGGGGAGGTATATACATCTTTAACGTCGCATCCTTTTGCACAGCCTAGCTTGTTCATAGTTAGGTGCGCCGCCCCAGTCTAGAGGCCTCCACACACACCTGCGTCTGCCATGCTTAAAGCCTTGGCTGCTAGGCGGCACTGTGCATGACCCGTCTAGATTGCATAGTACACGCTGCGATAGGACTGGCGCTTGTGGCTTGTAGAGGCACAGTCACCCACAGAGACAACATCATGCCATATTGGTAGAAGTGGCTGGACGAGGCTGGGATGGGGAAGCGGGGATTGGATCCACGTTCGGGGTGGGCAAGCGAAACAGTGCATTTCCTGGTTGCGGCTGAATTATTGTGGCTGGACAAGTACGGCGCTATTGTGCTATCTGTCGCAGGGACTTACATCTTACGAGTACTGCTTGTTTCGAGGGGCTATTTGCTGTTTGTTTTTACACTCACTATAACCATTGCTATTGTGAGACTCACTGCGTACTGAGGTACAAAGTCGCTGTATTCACGTCCTGGAGGACTTCACGAACGATACTTACACCTCGGCTAAGCGCGTCATAATGCCAAGAAACTATCACAAGTCGACCAGCGCAGAGAATTTGTAGTCTGTAAGGTTGGCTGGATGCCTCAATTACTTTGCTCCGCACAGTCGCAGTCGTACGCATTGCTGGTGGTTGTAGTGTCTGCACGCTGCATCCATTGTGGGGTTCATGTGCCGTTTGGTCCGGTTTGCTTGGTGGCCTTGGAATGACGTACTCGTTGTCGTTTCCAACGGTCTTTACTAACGACTGACATTCTGGAATCGCAGCGTGGGATTATCTGAATGTTGATTGAAGAGTGAGGATACTGGCCGATGCATGCTTCAACTACACGATGGCAGCTGATGTCTCTACCATCGCCAAGTAAAACAGCCGATGATCTATTTCTTGAGGCCTACCACCACTAAGTTGCGCGGACTATGCTTATATTCGAAAACGGGCTCGACCCATGCATGCTCAACCTCTTCCTGCTCCTTTAGCCACAGATACCGATCCGTGACCACGACGGCTTCGACTACACCAGCGCTGAAAGCCATCAGACTCCACATGACACTCAGCTCCTTCTTTCTCTCCGCATACCTAACCTCATAGTCCCGAATATCGTCATCGGTCAAACCGTCCATCTTCTCCTTGATGAAGTTGGGATCGATCTCACAAAAGGAGTTGTCAGCCGTAAGTTTTGCTATTGCGGCGCGAACGTATGAGACGAAATCGCTGTAGGCAAACTTGCGCAGCGTTCCAATTGTGAGAGGCGTAGTAGTGCCGTCTGAAGAGAGACCAGGGCCACGGCCATTGGGCGGCGTCCAGTTTACTTGCGACGTGTGACCGTTTGCTGACACGGCACTGCCAGTGAGACCTTGATCGTGTAAGGGTGCAGAGACTACGCCACGATCGAGAAAGATGCGCTGAAGCAGTGCTCGAAAGAAGTGACGCGTGAAAAACAGGTCTGAGTCGACAGGACCCCAGTTGAACGGTGCTTGTACGGCCATCATGCGGGCAGTGATGTTGAGTCGAACCCCTTTGGGTTGTTCAGCTGTCTCGCCACTGCGCGAATCAAGAGGGGCATATGGAAGTGGGTAATTTGCGAGCTTTTCTGACATTGGAAAGCCGTTGGGGTCGAAAGCACTGGATGTGGATTCCAGGCGCGGATGGTTCGCACGCAACGTAGGCAGCTTGTATGTTGGCGGACCAAGACGTTCAGTGAGCAAGTTATAGCAACAGCCCACCATGGCTACGGCTGAGATGTGAGCGTTGAGCATCATGGAGCGCAGCCCATAATGCACTAGGTTGCCGCATGAATGAAGAGAGATTACCATGGCGTTCACATCAGTAGGTTTGGGCACTACATCCAAGTTTGTAGCTTCAGCAACCACAGCACTGTCTTGTGTAACAGCTTCTTCGGGTATACGAGTGGTATCCAGAACCTGGTCGATGACGGGTGTGAGGTCGCCATCTTTGATGATGTGCTCAACATATTGGACACTACCGTGACCTTCGTTGTATATCTGCAGCGTAGAAGTTTTGGTCGCCTCACTCGGGGGGTTGTTTGCAGATATCTCAGCTGCTTGTGGAAGCACACACCCGTCGTCACATTGTGGCCCGCTAGTCAAGGTTGAACTGACTGGTTCATGTTCGGTAGGTGGAAATGATGTGACTTCATTTGTTTGTGAGTCTGCTTGTGCATCTTCTCCCTGTGCCAGAGCATCTGCGCTGGCCGACGCAGTGGAGGCATTGACCCCATTCTCCCTGCCTTTCTTGACTTTGCCTATTTTGGCCCTGTACTCCTTCTTATTCCTCATGACTACAGGTTTGGGGACCAGCTTTGCCAACACGTCCATGTTCTTGGCACCCTCAATGTTGTGTTGCTTACTCTCTACTGCGACAATGTGCTTGGAATAGGGCGCTGCAGCAAGAGCACGTCCAAGGTAATTCTGACCAGAACCAAAATCCACGAGGTGCGTGATAGGTTTCTTTCTAGAGGCCGCAATCTCGGCGGTCAGTCTGTCAATGTAGCGTGCAAAATTATCGACCTCGTGCACCTTCTTGACTTTCATGCCCATGGCAATATGGCGTGGTATCGCAGGCTTCCCAGCTGTGATATTTGAGTTTGGTGGAGGAAAGTCGCGTGCCAGCAAGTGCCTCCGGACTGCCTTGATGTAATCTAGCAGTTCCTGTGGCGGTGGTGACCCATCTCGCCAATCAGAGACACCTGGTTGCTTCGCATCAAACTGGCTAAGGTCCTCTCTCATGAGCAAATCCAAAATGTCCATGATGTCGCGTGTCTTGAACCAATCCCTCCACGATTGGGGCAAGATATGCGAGTAAAGGTCAGGTGACCTTGTGTAAAAGTCCAAAATGTGGACACCGCCGCATAGTGTCTGGAGCAGCCATGAGGAAGTTGCAAATTCGAGCAGTGACTCGACGTATTCGTCGGTGTTTGTAAATTCGGCTGGAAGAGGCAGAGGCGTATCCGGTCCCATTGTCTCAGCCAAGTCCTCTTCGCCGATAAGTCGACTGTTTCTGTATCCAAGCTTTTGGTGATAGTCGGGCCATCAAGAAAACATCGTGATGGTGTTGTTCTGAGCACACTGTGGGGGGTATTTTTTTCGGGAAGGTGGGCCAGTGCCGAGGCGTTCGTTCCAACGCATCATTCGGCCAGCCTGTCGCTGCGCTGCGCTTCAACATTGTCCTTTGGAACTTGACCATTTCGCCCACCCACTTCCACGATTAGAATTGATAACAAGCGGCTGTCGCGTGTATATATACAATGGCGGCGCTAAATGGCGAGGATCCTTTCCTCCAGGTTCAAGCGTGAGACGGCGCCCTACAACCCCCATATACGCATCATCGTTAACCCGCAATAGCGATGTGCTCACTGCACTCGACAATGCGCGACCGTTGTTCAAGTCCTATCTACGCATCCGGTCATCGGCATCTTCAGCCAATAGCCCTGAGCTCCGCGAAGCCCGCAGCGAACTCGAGCAGACGCTACAGGACCTCAGCCAGGACCTCGAGGACATGGTGGAGAGCGTCAAGGTGGTCGAACACGATCCCTACCGCTTTGGGCTTGAGATTGATGAAGTCGAGCGCCGGAGAACTCTGGTTAGGGATGTTGGGTACGAGATCGAGAACATGCGCGAGGAGCTGCAGCAGACGGTCCAACAAGCCAAAAACAAGGGCAAAAGCACTGCAAACGGCGACGTGTTGCCCGACCCAGACACTTTTGAGGACGAGGACAACTATGCTGCATTTGAACAGGAGAGGCAAATGGAGTTGATGCACGAACAGGACGAGGCGCTTGATGGTGTTTTCCGTACCGTTGGCAACTTGCGCCAGCAGGCCGACGACATGGGCCGCGAACTCGAGGAGCAGGGCGAACTGCTTGCCGACGTTGACAATGTGGCTGACCGGGTTGGTGGCAAACTCCAGACAGGCCTCCAGAAGGTCGGCCATATCATCAGGAAAAACGAAGGTATGTTGTGTGGCGCAAATGATTATCACAATACTGACTATCTCTCTCAAGACTCGTGGTCCAGCTGCTGTATCGGCGTACTAATATTCGTCCTTATACTCCTACTCGTCCTCCTTCTGTTCCTCTGAAAGCGCGACAGGAATATGTCTCTCACCTCGGCCCGGCCCGATGCATGTCTTCCCGCATGCGCGTGTGCCTAGCTTCCAGCACCTTCAGAGAGCCTGCTGGCTCACTTTGCGCCTGCGATGTCATTATTATATCCTCCTTTCAGCGAGTCGAACCATGCATTCTACACTTGGCTAACACGAGGTCAAGCTGCTTTTCACGCACTTGACTTCGCAGCTCTATGCCTGGCAGTAATGACGACAAACTCCGAGAAGCCATCACAAACGTGATTTAGTCTGTGATCTCAGCTACTTGGCTTAATTTGGACTATGCTATGCTCCAGGGTATCCCTCCGGCGCTTGCATAATCGCTTTCCCGACGTGGTAAAGTCGCAAATGTGCTTCGCAAAGCCTCTTACCCAAATATGCACGAATCGCATCTAGAAGAGCTTGCATCGTAAGCAAGACTCGATACGAATGGCATTTGGTAGTGCTGAAGAACTGTGACGGTTGTCAATCGTTGGTGGGTACTGGCAACACCACGTTCACTCATGGGTTTCACGATCGCCAACACGCGCTGTCTCATCATCGTCCATCTCTTCAATCCACTTTTGTAAACAATTGGCTGGGATACCTGGCGTCACATCACATCGTATAGGGCTGAACTAGTCATGTTGCATACGTAGCGTTGCTTCTGAGACGCAGCCGGTGTGAGATCTTTAACACATTCATGCAACCCTTCAAGGAAACCCACCTTAGTCATTAATTGCAGCTTTCCCGTGCTGTTCAATCCTCTGCTACTACAGTCGCACTGTTTTAACTTTGCAATCAATGTATTGGCTCAAATCTAGTTGTCTCTCTCCCGCCTTCGTACGCTCCCGTTCATGTGATGGCTGGACGGGGTCGCAGCGGTAGCAACGCTGATCAGTCATCCACAACGACCACCGAAGCCCGTTCGAAGGGCACGCGCCGGAAGATTTCTCTCGTTTTCATAACAGTCATTCTTAATATACTGCTTTGGAGTGCTATCATTTGCATCGCCGCATCCCTCTATCAGATCATCTCAGATCCATTTAATACTTCAAGTTACGCCCAAGTGGCTTTAACGATAATATCAGTATGCGGTCTTCAATCTTTAGGTACACACGATCATATACTAATATATATAGGCCCTAGTGACGATTGGATACACCATCTTTCACTCGATTCTTTCACTGAAGCAAAAGCTATGGGAGCAGCAACGGCGATACTCGGTCGCCATGAAAAGGAATTCTACTGTTCCTACTCGTATAGCAGGATCAATGTGTGCACTCTGGCTGCTGACCTCCGGTTGGGACATGATACTGGTCGCAAGCACACCTGTCTGTTTGCCAATGGCGCCGGGGCTGGACAGTTCGGAATATGGCCTCACCTGTCATGTTAGTCGTGTGGGAATAGCATTCGCGGTAATCTCACTGTAAGCAGCATCCTTGCACAACCATATATATGCTAACAACCTCCAAGTGCTGCGTCAGTTGCCCTCTTGGGCATTCTCGCTGGGGTTGGCCGCCCGTTCGAAGCGCATTTGCTCAACCATGGTTACCAGCCGCCAATCGAAGTGTACTCAAAACCCTATACTCCCGGACCATCTGATTCGGTGGTTGTCATGTATCAATCTAACGAGCATTTCGAAAGGCCAAAGTCTTTGCATGAGATTAAAGTCTCTGATCCTTCGAACGCTGATTCAGATTTACCCAGTCCTGAGGATGCTTTGCTACGTGCAATCATGTCACCTCCTTATACAGTGTTTTCTCCTCGAAGAGGTGTTTTCACGTCTCATCATACGCCACCGCCCATTCCTGCCGAGTACGCTGCTCCACGACGAAACTCATTACCTGGCACCTTTCGAGTAGCAAGCCAGCCACACAGATACCAAAAGTCACTTGCAAACTCGTCGCGATCTTTTGTATCTGGTGTAGTCCCAGGCTCTATACGACAATCATTACCTGCGCACTTTTCGACAGCGACATGGCGCGTTGCCCATCCCAACCCAGCGTCACTAGCACTATTAGCTCATTCTCATCCCGAAGTTGTCAACCGCAGGTTTTCCTCCTATCAGAGTCCCTATTCTCGCCATTCGATGACACTCACCCGCCCACAACGCCTGAGCTATCATTCAGCTACTCCAAGTGTCCGTTCACAATCTGAACATACAGACTCAGATCGCCGAAGTAACTCGTTATCGAGAGCCAATTCAAACGAAATAGCGCGTGCCTTCGTGAAAGGTCTACATATGCCCGCACCCGCCCATCCCACCAACCGCCCTCGCAACATCCGCATAATAACTACCCTCGACACCGGATCCACCGAAAAACAACTCCACCGCATGAGTGCTCCCCTTTCAACTCATACCACACAAGACTCACCACCAACATTCTTCAACCCAAACAGACCCTACATCCGCAGCGCCTCCCCAGGCTTCCTCAGCTTCTTCAGTCCCGACACCAGTCCCGTCGACACCTCTCCTACGGACCCCAGCCCCCCAACCACCACCCTCACCCCCACCACCAAAACCAACCACAAAATTCCACGCAAACCCATCCCGCTCTCCCGTCGCCCCTCGGAAGCCGCAAGAGCCATGTTCAGCAACATGCCCGATGACTTACCGATTCTTCCGCGATCGCCTAGATCGCCTGGTGCGACGATGCTGGTTATGATGACGCATGGACCTGTTAAGCAGAAGAGGATGAGTGTATACGAGGAGGTGAAGAATAAGCCCTTGCCTCGGATTGCGATTTTGTAGGTACATAGAAGAAATGTGTGGTTGATGGAGATTGACTTTGCATTTTGAGCGAGTTTTTTTTTAGATATCGGGAAAGGGAGTTTGAGAATGGTGGTTATGATGGCGTTATGAGGTTGTTTGTTTGGAACTATGTGTATAATGCATAATGACTCTCATGTCTTCTGTTTTTTCTTTGGTGCGTTGCTGGGAGGAAGGAGGGGGTGTGTTCTACGGGATGCGAGTGTGAGTGGGGAAGGCGGTCCGCTTGTGCGTCCAAATGATATGCGGGCTTTGCTGATGCAAAACGATTGGTGGGTTAGAGGTGGGTGTTTTGCGTTATTGGGTTGATGTGGTTGGCGTGGGTGTAAGATGATGAGGTGGCGTGGCTTGCTGATAGCAGGGGAGACGGGGGTTCTTTTGGCTATGTTTGGCTGGGAGTGTCCTGGTCTGGAGCGAACAGTGGTTAGCCATGGAACGAGTGAAGAGAGCCACAATGTATATTTGGGACAGAGGTGGCGTTTAGTGATGAACGCTGTAACATGAAGGGACAATCGTTCCAACTGTCTTTTCGTGACGTTCGTCGTGCTGAAACATGGCGCATATGGGGCCAAGCTGATAGAAGCTATCTTGTCTTCTAGAAAACCATGAGTGGCCGCTGACCTACCTACTTGAGCTAGTAGCGTGTTTCGAAGCCTTCGAGAATACAATTAGTGATGCTGACAGCCCGAACCCCACGCTAACTATCTCAATTCACTTGTGTTTGTAAGGATGCGGTGTTAAATAGACACACACACACACGCAGCGGGCCCCATCGAGGTATCACGAGCGTTGTGAAGGTGTCTGTAGCTCCTAAATACGTACATACTCGCTGCTACTACTATCTGCCTATTGATACACGGTCTGGTCCAGAACCCACCTGCTGCAACTGAGCTCGAGGATCTGTCCTTCCGATTCCTTGAGCTCAGTTGGACTATCAATGGCTCTACCGGATTAGGCTTAGTGGATACATTCCCCCGATCCTCGATACCAGATTGGGTTTAGAGAACCAGTCCCCCCGATCCTCGAGCTCAGTTTCGGCGGGGTCGGACTACACCTATGAGTGTCGCAGTGCCGTCTGAACTGACTGTATAGTATTGGGTTTAGGGGATCTATTCTGCGGATTCTCGAGTTCGGCGGGTGGACTATGAGTCTCGCAAGTGTTATGTGAACTGGCTCTACTGGATTGGGTTTAATGGATCCGTCCCCCCCGATCCTCGATACCGGATTGGGTTTAGGGAATCTGTCCTCCGATCCCCGAGTCTGAGAATGGCGCTGCACCAACAGGTTCAGGAGGTCTGCAGGTGAAGCATTGCTACTACTGGATTAGATTTAGGGGATCTGTGAGACAGATCCTCGATACTGGATTGGGCTTGGAGAATCCGTCCCCCCGATCTTCAAGGATCGGGGGGATAGATCCTCTACACTCAATATGGCTTGGAGGATCTATTCCTCTGATCCTCTAAGCTCAGTACGGTTTGGAGAATCGGGGAGACTGATCCTCGAAACCCAATCCTGTATCGGTGATCTACTTGGGGACCTGCCGGTGCAGCGCCAGTCTCAACCTCGAGTGCCAGAAATAGGCTAAAAGGTTGTAAAAGGTGGGAGGGAAGAGGGCCCGAGTTTGAAATTGAAGGCAGAAATGTCTAGCAGTGATGTTGAGAGGTATGGTTTGGAGGTTCCAAGGCATTATGCTAGAGCTAATGCCGATGCAATGAGATGTATCGTAATAGTCGTCATAAAGCACTATGTCAAAGACGCAGATGCAAGTGGGTCGCGATGAGATCTAACTGCCTTTGCTCTCTCCTTGCGTTGTATTGCTAGACAGACAGCGTGCGATTCATGGCTGTGCAATGTGAAAGTGCCAGGTAATATGGTGTTGAGTACCCACAAAGAGCAACAAAAGAGATCTACTTTACATAGTCTACACTAAATGTGAGCTCAAAGATGAACAAGAAAGATCTTCCCTGCTCAATGCATCGTCGGATACAAACTGCACCTGTCACAATAGCCTCAAACATCCTCGCCATCAAATGCATCACCAAATCAAAGACATGTCCCGCGCCAATGAGCTCGGAGATCTCCAACAATTGTGGTATGCAATGCGGTGAAAAAATTCAGGCCTCCCACTCACGTAACACAATAGGTAGATGTTTTCTTGCTACAATGTGCACAATGTGCAATAGGATCGAGGAGTCGCCTATATGCCACTACTACGCATATTGGCCGAGGCTCACCACCAACACAGCACCAAGAGTTTACTGAACAACAAAAGTATGATACGACACTCATTACACATCAATGTCGCAGTTTTTCCCTAGTTAAGGCATAGTGATGATGACAGTTCAAAAAGGCAACCAGTGGCGTCTGACAGCCAAGACTAGATCATGACCTCGACTTGCCTGTTCGTGTAACATATGTAAGATCCCGCGTGGAGAACCGCGCGTCAGTGTGCTGTGATGTGTGGGTTGTCCCTTAGCTCCATGTTAATGCGTGCGTTGGTTCGGGCGGATTTTCTGTGCATGCGATCGCTGCTGGGGCTTGACCTGGTATTCGGATCGATCCTGCAAGGTCAGTGGTGGGCAGATAAGAAGGAGTCCAATGCAAGATCTGTTTCTCGATCCAGTAAAAATGATTCCCTTAACTAGAATCTGTTGGTGTAAGTGACCATCGGACAAATCAACAGCATCTCCTTCGCAGTGTGCTCCAATCTTGAGCACAACTAACAACGCAACTCTCCAGCCATGAATCTGATTGCTCATTATCCCTACCATAAAAATTCTTCTCATGTCATGGAAATATCCCAGTATCACCTGACCACCCCCAGTTTTCCACTGCTGATATCAGCTCAGCCTGCACTAAAAACTTCATCGACATCATCTGCTCTACATCCAACCAACATCGCCTCGAGAATCGCTGCGCCACCAACTATTAGCAGGTGGAAGTCAAGAAACGTCACCAATGTTGGCGGAAGTCTTCTTTCACGACAGGGATATAACAGAGCAGTACGTAAGAAGATTGCGAGCAAATATACCATATAAAGCAACGCATCTTCCACCCACATCTCTAGAACACCATCTATCCAGACACTTCATCTTACACTATAATCACCTCTCCAATCAGATTCTCAGATCCCAATTTTCAAAATGCAATTCACAACCCTCACTGCCCTCTTCGCCACCGCACTTGCCGTGAGCGCCACCCCCCTCCAGCAAGACGTCACCAAGCGCCAGGAAGGTGGCGTCCCCCGCGTCTACGCTCGCTTCTACAACGACGGCGGCTGTGGTCCTTCTCCCTGGGCCGAAGACACCGTCTTCATCCAATCCGAGACGGTCGGGCTGGCCGGATGCCAGGATCTGACTGTTGGACCCTTTGCTAGCACTTTCTTTGATACCAACAACTTTAGCAGGACTGGTGAGTTATATATCTACAAGGTAATAGGGGAAGAATTGGAAATGCTAACTGAGATTTACAGTTCGCTTCTTCAACCTTCCTTGCTCCCAACTTACTTCTACGACGAGTGGAAACTTTATTGATATTCGACCTGGTCAGCAGCCCGGATGCCAGAACTTGGCTATCCGGTCTTGGATTACTTTGTAAGTGGCTCGCATCTTTGTTTCTTAGATGCGGAGTGCTTGTGTGGAAGGGAGGAAGCTGGGCGAGGATGAGAGCGTGGGGAGTGGGAGAAGTTGAAAAGTGGATGAGTGATGGTGGCACAGTCGGGTCCAACACTCCGGCCAGTTCCACCATGGGTGTTTTACTTTCCTTGTTTCATAGTCACTCGTTAGTATAATAATAGAGATTTTGGGGACGCCCCCCTTTTTCTAATACTTGTTAATGCGGTTTTCAGAAGTGTGATGTAGTTGTAAAAGGTAGCCAATTTTTCTTAGAGTAAGATTGCGTGAAATGGAGGTGCGGAGACTCAATCGCGAGGATTCGTTTGACTCGAAACCTTGCTGTAATATTAGAAAGTGTTAGTGAAAGACCCAGATACCGTTATCCGCGTTGAACCGCTACCAGCTCCTATCACAAGTTGGTGAGCGCTCATTTGATTGGCCTTTGATAGTGGTCTTAGTGAAAGAACTTCGTGAAAACCTGCATGTGATTCTGGCTCCGTGCCACTTTCTCGCCTATCAAGCATTCTTTTGGACTCACTCGTTTGTCCCTGACAAAGGAATCCACACCGCCGCATACCCCATCCCTTACATATATATTCCTCTCCCGCCTCGATTTTTCTTCTCTTGCACTCAATTCATTACGGAGTAATCCAGTTTAAAGGAACGCACATTGCGATGCATTCCGTTTCCCCCATTATCGCCTTCAGCGGATTCTTCATCGCCAACACCATGGCCGCACCTACCAACCCCCCGCTTCCCTCTCTCGCCATTCCCAATCCTAACTCAACCACCTACGAAGCTGATCTCGCAGCCGTGGTGTCTTATGCTCGTTCCCACCCCGTTCCGGTCACTACCATGGACACCACCACTGCTGCCGCTTCCATGAAGGCGTGCGGCGTCTACACCAAAATCGCGAGCCGCTTTACTACCCCCGCGTACATGACCGGCATGACCTGCAGCAACACGGCGGAGTTGGAGCATATGGAATACTTTTCCAATTGGTATTGCGGATTTTGTATTGTCTTCCACGGTAAGTCCAACTTTATGAGCACAAGATCAAACTTCAGACTTAGAAGTGCGAGGTAGTTGGCTGATGTGGGCGATACAGGCCGTGCTTGTCGGGGCGATATTCGCTGGAGCGGTGGATCGAATTTCCCCCCCTAACGATAGGCACCCTGTCCATGGTGCTCAGAGTTATTTCTGCTACTAGGAAGATGGGTCGAAGTGACAGGTTTGGAAAATGAACCCTGTTTTGGTTTGCTGGAGACAAGGTCTGGAGGCATGGCAGGATTGTTCAGGGTGCTCGAGTTAGTGCTGATCTACAGGGGTATGGTTAGAGACAGTGAACCAAGTCTACACTTGCTAAGTCATGGCCTAGGAATGGTTCTCTGGAAAAAAAGAGAATAAACAGGATGTATACTCCGAGATTGGCCATTGAATAAGTAGATATTTCGAACAAGATGGAATCCTACACTCAATCTCAGGGCGTTCATGTCATTTACTTCTTGCCTTTCTTCTTCGTATCCCCCTCTTTACTATCCTTTGCGAAGCCACCCAATACCAGAGCCTCTCTTGCCGCGGTGTTGATGATACGGAATCGATCTGGGCCAAGCAAGATTCCACCGTACCACCGAGTAACAATAACCATTACGTTCCATACGTCCATGAGCTGCATTAAATGCAGCATACGCGAGCCAGCAGCGGTCTCGCCATCGTCATCGCAGTCCTGGTAGCTCGTGTCGTTGGGGCCCTTGATGCGCCACGCAGTCATGTTATGAGTCGCGCGAGCGGCCTTCTTGTCGGTCGCAAGAAGATGTGCAACATACTGCCTAGCCTGGGCTGGAGACGACACTGGTGCTACACGGGCTAAAAATACTGACTTCTTTTCGGTAAGAGCAGGTGCAATGATCCATGGCGGCTCCGGTCCAAGATCGACTGTTGGGTCAGGGAAACTATGGACATCGTGGTCGTCTTCTACATTTGTATTTTCATGCTGGTCATGCAATTGAAGATCTCCCTGCTCTTCGGCTTGCTCTAATGCTTCTCTTGCCTCTTCTAGCAAATCGTAGATGCACGCTTCTCCTGGTTGATATACTCGTGCGAGGACGTCTCGCACTACATCGACAGCCCGGCTGCCCATACCCTTGGGTACATCCTGGCCGACAGACTGAGTCCCTAGCACTGATGGAGGGGCATCTGGATAGTCTGCCGGAAACTCTATGCGCAGGACAATTGAAGGCAGAGATGGCAGCCGCAAACTGTACAGTCTCGCATGCTCATCAATAGGCGACAGAGTACCTTCGTCGAAGATGGCGTTGAGGGAGGTAACCTCATCTTGGATGGCGTCGTTGGTGGACATGGTTGTGGTGGCTGCAACCAAATTGGTGGGGGTGGACAAGATCGGCAGGCACGCTAGGCTTAGCGTCTTGTGCGCGCAACAGTCGTCCTGGTGGAAACATTACTGTCGCGTTCAACTCCCAGTCTCGTCCAAACTCGCCTCTCAGTCGAACCTCTGTCGCATTGCTGTTCATATCGCCTATCATGGCACCCAGCGATGATGCCAAGCGCGCGACAACTATACTGACGATTGCACAGTTGAAGTTCAAGCAGGCCATCAAGAAAACAGACAATGAAGACCGGCTGCCGCCTGTGTCAGTGGAAGTCAGCTCGCAACTCTTCAGCGGCATAAATGCTGTTCTTCAGCAGAACACGCGCGTGAACGTCCAGGTATCCTACTATGAAGCCATCGACCACATGTACCCGGGAGCAGACTAATTCGCCCACCGTAGAAATGCACAGAATGGATTGTGAAGCACATAGCTCCCTCCAAGGCCCGCATCGCTCTTCTCGGGGACTATCTGATTTCTGTCTCAAAGTCCATTGTCCTAGACCTGAACAATCCCGTAGTGGCAAAGAAGGCAGTCCGGAACCGGATGGACCTTTTACTGATTGTCAACGATGTTCTCCATACTGACAAGTTTCATCGTCGTAGTACCATGAAGCAGGGCATATTCAGCGACGTGTGTGGGAGTTTTGTCGCTGAGCTGATCGAGCAAGCCGCCACGTGCATAACTGAAAAGGACTCGCAACCCGAGAAGAAGCTGAAAGCCATTATCAACTACTGGGCTGTCAACCAGCTTGTCAGCGCAGATTGCCTGAAACTATGTAGAGACAGGGCAGACGAGGCACTGTCTATAGCGCATGGTGGTACGCCGGTTCGAAAGCGCAACTACCTTTTGCCCGAGTATCATGGCGATAGAACGGCCCCATGGTACGATCTCCCCGCCTCGTATATGCTTGAGCCCATGATCAAGTACCCGAACCGCCCGATCGACCCTTCGCAAATCAAAATTCAGAAGCTAGACAAGAAGCCAGTCTCTCCACACGTCCGCAATCTACTCGACAATTTCTTCGAGAAGATTGATCTCAAATACAGACCGACTGGCGACAACCCAACTGGCGAGACTGCAAGATACAAACTGTTCTTGGACCCCATGGGGCAGCTGGTCAAACAGGACAAGGAAACCGGCGAGACAACGACGGTAGCGAACGGCTACGGGTGGTCGATGAAATTTTGTCAGGATATGCAGAAGCATGGTTTTCCAGAGGATATAAAGGTCGCACGGGAGGATATCGAGCGCATGGAGGGTGGTGCGCAGTTTGCTTCAACCAGGTCCACGGCTCGTGACGCACGACGCAGTCACCGGTCGCCTTCATCAGATTCAGACTACAGACGAGGACGGCGACATTACAGTCGGAGCCGTAGCCGTAGCCACCATGGCTCCGAGTCGTCTTATGGTAGCCGTCGATCACCTCGACGGTCAAAATCCGGCGCTAGGATGCAAGAACACCGCAAATACTCCCCCAAACCAACACATAAAGGCCATGACCAATCTCGACAGCCACCAAGATCACAGGATCGAGACGGAGGCCAGCGTGAATCACAGTGGAGTGGACCAGGGGGTCAGAACAGAAGCGCTCATGGTAGTCCAGGTATCCAACCATACCAGGCTTCAGCAATGCCACCCCAAAACTTCGGACAGTCGTACTCTCAATCGCCTCAGCCATCATTCAATGCGCCTGCCTTCTCGCCGCCACCGGGCCAATTCCCGATACCAATGCCGCCCTTTGGGATCCCACCACCACCTCCACCGCAATTCCAGGGAGCTGGTGCTTTCGTCCCACCCCCTCCCCCACCAAACTACACAGGCCCGTGGCCTCCTCCGCCTCCAAATATGAGCGTGCTACCAAACAGTTCACAACATGGCAATCAGTATGGGAATAGCAACAATGGATCCTATAATCAGAACCAGGGTGGTTATCAGGGGGGACGTGGTTATGGTAGCCCGCAACGTGGAGGCTACAACAACAGGGGTAGTTGGAGGGGTACTGGACGTGGTGGGCGATATTGAGACTCAGCTACTTTTACTGTAATTGTATACCTGTCCGCTCTATTTGGATGTTTTAGAATCAGACCCAGTGTGTGTAATGGTGGATTGAAGCAAACTGCGCAGAGCGACTGCTTTTCCAAAAGATCTTAGATTTAGTTGATTCAAGGTTCCTTCTATATTACCCATTCGATATATATCACTCGTTGTTGTCTATCTTATTTATTTTATAGAGTACGCATTATGCAATCTTATATAGCGAAATAAGTGAGTGAACTCTTTCTCAGCGGTGAGGTGAGGTGATGTCACTCGTAAAGGCCGAGAACAATACGCACCGGCACGCAATCACGCGCCAACGCGTTCGCGTGATTCGCGACTACGAAGGCCAACCAACCAACGCCCGGATAGTCCCGCCTTTACCACCATGGTTACTCATTGAATATCACCCATTATTCCCAATATATTACCACTCACCATGGCCACAGACTGTCCAGAACTCACCACCAGCGGACGGCGTTGCGTGTAGCAATGGCGCAATCTACTAAGAGAAAGCGCACTCAGACCAGAACGAAGCCGAACAAACGACCCAAATACGTCGATTCCAACAAGAGCGAAGCGAGCGGCGACGACAATTCCAAGCTTTGGGAGGCAGAGTGTATTCTCGAAGAACGCATTGTCAAAGGAGTCAAGAAATACCATATTAAATGGAAAGGCACCGACCCGAGCACTGGAAGAGCGTGGCCAACTACTTGGGAGCCCGAAGAGAACGCGAACGACGAACTGGTGGCAGATTGGCTGCAACAACAGAAAGCGCAGAAATCAGGTGGTAGCAGAGGTCGCCCAAAACAACGGGCAGAGGCAGAGGCACAGACACAGACATCAAGGCGCATTCGCAACTCGCGGGTCATTGATAGTAGTCCAGAGTCCACCACCCGCTCTTCGTCCACTTCGAAGCCATACACTTTGGAGCCCCCCACATGTCCCCATAATAGAGCTGTCTTGGGAAACCCATCTAGCGCTACGAATTCGCTTGTTGGTATTGCAGCGGCCCCTGGACCAGTCTTGTGGGTTTCACCTCGCATACGTATACGTCGACGTAGACAGAGTCTAGAGCGAGACGAATTCGAGCGCGTCTCTCAAATACCTTTATCACAACCTCCTTCTACACAAGAACCTACACAGACGCACAGTCAAGAAACCGACCTCGACAGTTCACAGCTCATTTCTGCAAGGCCAGAACCATACTCATCCGGTATCGTTCCGGACTCGCAGAGCTCTACTGGTGAAGCTAGCTTTATACCCATCACACAACAAACAGAAGACACCAACCAGCAGAGTACTGGCTCTAGCAGAGTGCTGGAAGAAGAGAACGGTCTTGCAGACGGCTCGGTGCGTTGGCAATGTCACATGCAAAAGTGGCTTGTTTTGCTAACAGATATACACAGGGGCTTCTTGAAATCGTCCAAGGAGCGGCGTTGCAGGTCATCTCACCCACGAGGTCAATTCCAGAAACTATAGCAGACACAACAGTTGTAGACTCACAGAGTCAGCATCAAAGAGTTGCAGATCCGGGTGCGATTGAACTTGTGCAAAGCCTGTCACAAGCTGGACAAGCGACAGCTCGAAATCACGTGGAATCTGAAACTGTCCAAGAGACCCATACCGGTGCTTCGCTTTCTACTGGACAGAACACATCAAGTACTGGTATACAACATCAGCCCTGGGAATACGTTTCTCAGACACAAATATCAACGGAGGCTGCGGAGAACGGTCCGCTGGAATTTGTCAATATAGAAGAGATTCCTGTATCACCAAGGAACTCGTCTATACTCGGTGACTGCCAGACGCCTCAGGCTGACAGACGCGAGGCAAACAGCGATCTTTTACCAATTGCTACTGGTGACTCTGGTGAGGTCACGCAACCTGACGTAGTCCAGCAACTCGGTAGTCGCGATAGTAGTCAGCCAAGCCTGGTCGAGCATTCAGATGCAGACGACGATCAGTCTCCATTCTATTCCCAATATCCAATCCCTGATTTCGCGCAACAAGCACATTCACCGAGATTAGCTTCCGAGCCAGATTATCGCATCGCCAGGTGTAGTTCGCATCAACCTGTAGGTGTTAGTACGACGCTAGAAGCCCAAAACAGCCAAGCGCTGCTCGCTGGACCAGGTGCTCCAAACAAGACCACCTCAGATCCGGCTTACAACCCGCCACACGAACTAGTAGCATTGCCATTGAACAGTCAGGTCTGCGACAACAATTTGTCCAAACAATCAGTGATATCGAAACCTGTCCGCAGCCTGTCGCCTGCATCGGAAGCAGACCCGGGACCAAGTTATTGTTTAGAGGAGCGCGAGCAGAACGCGCAAGTCGTGTCTTTAGAGCCTATCCTAAGTACACAAGAGGACACGGTTGACGATATCCGAAATACTATCGAGAAGGATTACGCCGATGATAGGGCGAACTCAGAATCACGCCACGACTCTTCCCAAGAATCACCAGAACGACCATCTCAGCCCTTGGATCACAGTTCATCTCCAGTCCCATATCCACCAAGCCACTCGGTGAGAACGCAAGAGCCACAAATTCCCCCAAGGCCCTACACTCCCGTTCCAACATCATCTACATCCAGCATGGCGGGTGAAAGCACCGCGGACATTGTCAAGCGACAGTTGGAAGAGGCCTTGGCTAAGCAAATGGCCGAGAGTCCTTTCGTCCCAAGGAAACGAGCCAACAGATCATCTACTGGGGCATCTCTCTCAGTAGCTGAGGTTTCAGCCACTCCGCCTAAGGCGAGCAGATTGCTAAGGACAGCCGAACAAGAAGGCACACGATCTCCCTCGGCTGTGCCAGACCGCTCGCCAGCCATGCAGGTACCCACCTCGCTAAGGACGGTTGCATATGCTCCTAGTGTACCCCAAGCGGCGTCCCCACAGAATGAAACCATGGCCTCAACATCGGGTGCTCATTCAGAAACCGCTGATGCTGATGCTGATGCTGAAGCTGCGGCAGCCACCGAGTCCGCGGCACCAGATGTACACCCGTCTGGAGGCTCCGAAGACATGGACGTTAGCGATGCAGATGACGAGGACAGTGAGAGCCTATTGAACGACGATCTGCAGCTTGCAGAGCAAGAGTTCATTGTACCCTTGTTTATCCAAGGACGACAAAGTGACATGTACTCTCAGCATATTGCGCTCAAGAAGGACATTTTGGAAAAATTTCTTGAGGACCCCCACAGCGTGGAGCCAATCTCGCAAGTGGAAGAGATTCTGACATACCTCCGCGCAATAGAAACACACATCGACTTGGTCTTTGCTGAAGCTGGGTCTGGGCTCTTGAACGATGAAATGTCGATGACGCAAGCTGCACATGCCGCCCAATTTGGTATGGAAAACTCGACGAAATTCAGGTTTTTGCATAAGCTGTTCCATCATTTACGGGATTCCGACATCCAAAAGCACGTCGTGTTGGTCACTGAGAAGGACGATGATGCACTCTTCAACATTCTTGAAACCTTTTGCGAGGCGAAGAACATCAATTACAACATGCTCACCAGAGGTCACTGGACGGATCCGACAGAGGTGGAGGGAGAGTTGCAAGTCACCATCATCCCGAGCAATGCATCTTCCGTGATGCGCCCTGCTGATCTCATCATCTGTCTCGATGGCTTCCAAGATGCGACACAGATCCGCAAGAAGAATTGGGCCAGGTATCCCGAACGCGAGGTTGTACCAGTAATCCATCTTGTCATTCCTAGGACTGTTGGACACATTGAGCGCTACATCGCACCGAGTCTGGGCCCAGTAGAGCGTATGCATACTATTTTGGCAAGTTTAGCGCACGTTCGCCCAGACATTGGTAAGGCTATTGATGAAGACACACCACGGGACATCGTTTGTGCATCCTTGGTTGCTGAATGGCTCATGGACACAACAGAGGGCGCAGAACAAAGCTGGCCAATACCATCTATCGGTAGTATCAAGGATGTTATCGAGTACCAGACGCAACTATCACAGCCCTTGGCGAACTCTCCAGTGCCTGAACGTATCAAGCGGCCTTTGTTGGTATGTATTGTTACCAAAGATGATTGGACCGGCATCGTTAACATGTGTATAGGACAAAGAAGAGCTTGATCCTTCGAAGCGGATGCGGTTCACTCCTCAGCCACAACCACTTCAAAGCTCTGGTTCAGATCAGAACAATGAGACCACGCGTATCAGCGACTCCATGCCTAGCGCTGCAGCATATGAATCAAATCTGCAGAAACGTCTAGCTCAACTGGAGGAAATGTACCATACTGAGCGTGAAGCGCGCAGAGCAGAAGAGAGACGCTTCCGCGAACACGAGGAAATATGGGACAAGCAACAGACAGTCCACGAGAACCTGGCGCGCGAGTACCGACTCTTGCTAGGCAAGCAGCAAGCAGCAGAGAAGAAGCTTGAAACCCTACAACATAGCAACACTATACTCACCGAACGCCTTACCACCCGCACCTCTGAGCTGCGTGAGCTCGAGAAACAACTCGAAGAACAGCGCGCAGCGCACCTCCTCTCTCCCGACGCTCAAATCGTCGAAATAACCAAACTCCGCAAAGACCTCACCACAACCCACCAGGAAAAAGAAAAAGCAATCAAAAACGCCGCCACAACCGACAACATGCTCGAATACACGCGCACTGCATATCAAGACGCGCAAAAAGCAGCCGCAACAGCAAACACGCGTATCGCTGACCTCGAAGCCCAAGTCGCTAAACTCACCCATGCTGCTTCAGGCCAAGCCGTTAAACTCAAAACTATGCATCTCGACCGCAATTACGAGGCCCAAGATCGCAATATCAAGGCGTTGAAGGCGGAGTTGGGCATTGTTATGAAGGCCCTGCAGAATAAAGAGGAAGAGATTACAAGACTGAAGAGTATGGGGAGGCCCGGTGTAGGGACGAGAGGCACGAGTGCGACGCCTCAGCCTAAGATACGGTCGAGAGCTGGGAGTCCGAGTTTGGCGGGGGGTAGGTTGTCGAATTTGAGGAATGGGTGATTGATGAAGGAATGTTTTTGGGGGGTTGGGTAGTGGAAGTGGTTGATTTGGTAGGGATTTTAGAGGAAAGGAAGCAGGAGCTCCAGGATCATGATGTATATGCTAGAGTTAGAGAATTATTATTTTGTTCTTGTGGTTGACTACGGTTTTTTTCCCCTTCTGGCTGCCTGTTTCTTTGGAGTATCTGTGATGTGGATGGAGTTTGGGCAGCTACTTTGCCTTGTACATCTCATCCATATACGGTCACGACAAGCTCAATTTACAAGACAAACATTCACAGGCACAAACGATGAGAATCAAGATGGCATCAAACACAATTTGATTGGATTTGGCTGAGCACAAGGCTCATCGCAGCCACATATATCATAATTCATTCAATAGTACCTAAGGCACTATGAGAGAGAGAGAGAGACCAAGGTCGATCTAACAAAAAAGCACAACAATACATGCAACAATTTAGTACCAAAACTAACCAACTCTTTCCTCTTTACTTCTCCCTCATGACAGGGGCCGCACCACCAAGACCAGCCCTGGCCTCGGCGTCCTCACGACTAATGACGCGATGAGCACCAGACCAGATACCAAAGCTGCGTTTGATGGCCTTCCAGGACTCAATAGCCGAAATGTAAATGACGACGCAACCAAACGAGACGCCCCACTCCCAGGTGATGGAGGCGTGCTTGAAGACCTTCTTGTTAATGACGGGGAGGTAGACAATAGGGAAGACGACGACAAGACCGGCCATGACGGCGAAGAAGAGGAAGCGGTTACGCCAGAGGGTGGGGAAGACGGAGAGACCCTTTGGAGCACCATGCGAGGAGTTGGGGTACATGTTGAAGAGGGAGCGAGAGAAATGCTTGACTTCCCATGCTGTAACAAGCAGAAGTAAGGTGATGGTTGCGTAAGTGGTTGCGCGAGCGCGGAATGCGACGTCGCAGGTGTCGTTGAAGCCTTCGTTGCAACCGTGGCCGAGGTCGCCACCGCCGGGGCCAACGTAGGCGACAATGGCGAAGGAGAAGAGACAGAGGGCACCCATGAAGAAGCCGTAGATGAACTTGTCGGTGATGAGCTCGGCGGAGAAGACACCCTTCTTGTTGTCATGGGGTGGGCGGAACATGCTGTCTTCCTGTGACTCTTCAAGACCAAGACCGATGGCGAGGAAGGACGAGGTAATGAGGTTGACCCAAAGAATCTCAATGGGGGACAACGGGAAGACAGAGTTGTTGTCCCGATCCTTGAACGCGAGACCGATCAGGAGAAGGATGACCTGGGCAATGTTCGAGATGAGAAGATGCATAAGGAACTTCTGGATGTTGTCGAATAGACGTCGGCCTTCTTCAACAGCCTTGACAATGGAAGCGAAGTTGTCGTCGGTGAGAACCATCTCAGCGGCATCCTTGGCGACGTCGGAACCAGTACCCATAGCCATACCGACGTTGGCTTGCTTGAGGGCTGGCGAATCGTTGACACCGTCACCAGTCATGACACAGAAACGACCCCTACGGTGGAGGGCCTGAACCATCTTGACTTTGGTCGTTGGGCTACATCTGGCAATGACAAGAGGAAGAGTCTCCATGGCATCGACCTCTGCGTCAGTCATCCTATCAAAGTCCTTGGCGACCATGATGGCTGAGTCAGGCGTGAACTCGTCGATGATTTCCACATCCTTGGCAATGGCTTTGGCAGTACCGGGGTGGTCACCAGTAAGCATGTGAACAGTGATACCGGCAATCTTGCATTCGCGAACAGCACCCTTGGTCTCAAGGCGAGGTGGGTCGTAGATGGCGACGAGACCGAGGTAGTTGAGCTTTGATTCGATGACGTCACGTTCAGAGATGTCGGCATTGGGTTGGAGAGGCTTGTGGGCAATGCAGAGAACACGCAGACCTTGGTTAGCCATGTTCTCAGCGGCTTCGAGGATGTCGGCCTTTTCTTGCTCGGTAACATCAAGGGCGGGCATCATGAATTCAGTTGCACCCTTGGTGTAGACATCCATATGGCCAGTGTGGTTGTCCTTGTAGATGACACTCATCTTCTTAACCTTGGAGTCAAAGGAGAACTCGGTAGCAAGATGGATGTTGGAGGTGGCGAGGACTTGTTCTTTGCCCATGTTGAAGCGGGAAGCGAGGATGTGAAGAGCCACTTCAGTAGGCTCACCATGAGCTGCCCAGATTCCCTCCGACACACCCTGCATGATGGCAGTGGGCGGGCGGGAGATGGTGTCAATGGTAGATGCGTCGGTGTCGCGTTCATCTCCGCTCGTGGCATGGTCGAAAGCAGCTACTTTCTTGTCGCTTGAAGGTTCAATGCGTATTTCGGACGGTGGGATGACCTTTGAGTTGTTGCACAGAGCGATGGTGCGCAAGAAGCGGTTGAGGTAGGCGTCTGGCCTGAAATCATCAATGTTGATGGCCTGGTTGTTCAGAGCGATGTTACCGCTAGTAGGGTTGTGGGGATCAGTGATTCCATCAACAGTAAATGTTCCGGAACCACGCACAAGAGCCGTCTTGGCGACCATGCGACCTTGGGTAAGAGTACCAGTCTTGTCGGAACAGATGTTGGTAACACCTCCGACAGCTTCAATGGCGGACTGGACTCGAGTGATGACGTTGGCCTTTGCCATGGCCTTGCCACCAACAGCGATGGTGATGGTGAGGACAGCAATGAGCGATTCTGGGATGACGGCGACGGCAACACAGATACCATAGATGAGGACCTCACTATTAACATCCCACTTGCTTGCAGAGAAGACAATGATGGCAAGAAGGATGGCGAGGCCGAATAGTAGAAGAGCAAACTTGCTCAGTGTGATCTGGAGGGGGGTTCCAACAAGACCGAGGATGGTCTTGCCACCGTTGGTGAATCGCCTGAGGATGCGGACCATGAGGCTTGAAGACTCAGGGGCGGCATCCTTCTTCTGGCGAAGCATGGTGGCAATCTTTCCGACCTCAGTGTTCATGCCGGTAGCGACGATGATACCGTGACAGCGTCCAGAGGTAACCTCACTGCCTGAAAAGGCGAGGTTGGTTCGGTCACCAGTGGCGAGGTCATGGTCGTCGAAGACTTTGAGTGGAGTCTTCTCAACGGGCGCGGATTCTCCAGTGAGGAATGCTTCGTTGGTGTATGCGTTGACACCGTCGATGAGGCGGATATCGGCGGGGACAATGCTACCGACGGACAGTTGCACAATGTCACCAGGGACAAGGTCCACTGCTTTGACTTTGATGTCGGCAGTGCCGTTGCGGGTGACGGTGGCTTCTGGGGCAGTGAGCTTCTTGAGGGACTCGATGGTCTTCTCAGCTCGGTAGTCCTGCCAGAAGCCGACAACAATGTTGAGGAGGATGACTGCAGTGATGACGCCACCTTCGATGTAGTCGCTAATGCCAAAGCTTATGGCCATGACAATAATGAGAACGAAGGTGAGACTGTTTGAGATTTGCCTTAGCAGAATTTTCCACATGGAAAGCCCTTCAGCTCCCTTAACCTTGTTAGGGCCATAGAGCTGGAGGCGAGATTCCGCTTCAGCGTGAGAGAGTCCATGGCTAGGGTAGTGGTTAGCAGCATTCTTTGGCAGAGACGATTATAAGTGAGGCCTACTGGACGTCCACTCGCAGTTGCTCGGCAACCTCTTCGGAGGAGAGGGTGTGCGGAGCGTGGAGTGCGGGCGCAGTGTCGCCATCGCTAGGGTGTGGCTGGTGAGGCCTTTGGGTTGGTGCAGCATGCGGTTTCTTTAAACCACATATAGGGGGTTCATCGACGTTGGGAGAAGTCTCCTCGACGTTAGGCAGCACAGTTTCACCCATTCAAGTATATTTGGTAACACTGGTAGTGTGTTGGTGGTAGAGAGGGGATCTAGGGAGCCATGGCGGGGGCATAGTTATAAGTGGCTTTGCCCTCGTCGCTTGCTCTCCAGGCGATGGCGGGGTTGACGACGCTAGGCGGGCAGCGTGGGTCATTCCAAGCGTGGGGATGTCTTGGACGAGCTCATTGACGGCGCCTCATTATTCGATGCATGGGGATGCGCCCCAACAGGTGGTGCGTTAGCGGGGATGGTTACAGCGACGAGAGCAGTCAGGTGATGCGTCGGCAAGGCAAACGAAGCCACTGATTTGGCTGTGCATGTTACAGGTGGCATCTCGCAACGAGGCGGACCAGGCGTGATTGCTTGGTGACAAACGATAAGAGGCTTGGCTAGCGGAGTCCAAGAAATTCCGTCGCCGATTTACGGATGCAACGGGGCAGATGGGTGGCTGTCAGCGGCGATGCCACGATGCCCAGACTTCTAGGCTGTTGGCATCGAAGCATCCGTGTGCACCAAACAAGTTGGCCTGCAGCTTGTTTTTCGCGCGAAGATACCGATCCCGTCCCATTGTCGTTGAGCCCTACATGTGCATGGGAACCGGTTGAGTGCTGCAATGATGTTGCACAAGCACGTCGTCCATCCGGCCGTCTGTCGTCGCTGCGAGCAGCTTGTACGCCTACACGATGCGAGGGTAAGCAAGCAATATATCCATAGCCCGTGTACACAGTGCTAGCTGCTGACTGCCACACTCGCTACACACCAACAGGCTTGTCCTTTGGCTAAGGCGGGGAATGGCGAATCAAGCGTGTGGCAAGCCGTCGCAGCCAGAAATAGACCCGCAGGGTATTCTTCCTTTTGCATAGCGATAGTGCACAGCCGCGGGGGATGCAACTGCAACCGCTGGGGAACTCATCGCGCGGCCGGATACGTCGAGGGCTGTCGCGGACAAATGAGCGATGATGGATGCGGGGAGAGTGGTGTCATGCTCAGCTGTTGAGCCAAGCAACAGCATTGGCAGCATCGAGACAGGAAGGTGAAGACGCCAGAGGCTCTGATCGGCCGGAAAACGTCTTGCGGCTCTGCGAAGGTCGGAACGTTGTTGCAAGGCTTGCAGCTTGGGAGCTTGGGAGCTTGGGAGCCGCTGAGAGATGGGGCTACACCATGCCTCGGGTCACGTGCGTGGGGATGCGGCGAACAGCTGGCGGGTGGGGGGTCGCCGTTGTCGCTCTGGCTCACATCTCCCCGCACATTCTTAAACACACTTGTGGGCTCCAACCTCCACTGTCATCCATCGCACTCCCTCGGACGGCATCGACAACACGGTCATGTAAATGCAAAGAGAAAAAAACCAATCGCTTTTGATTGCAGCACAAGTATCAGAGAGCACGCCAAAACAAGCCCCACCACACACTGCCCATCGTGTGCACCCATCCGTGTGCATCACGGTAAAAGTTCACTTATAACGCCCATTGTAAAGATGCTCAGCCTCGCGCCCCCTCAAATCGTTCGTAACGACTCGGCCTCTGACATGCTCGAACTCGACGAACGCCTGGGTGCAAGCTGGCAGTCGGCCTCGGCGAGCGCGGCCTGCATTGAGAAGCCAAAGGTCGCGGCCAGGTATTGCGCATAACGCATGCGGTACGCCTGTGCCGGATCTTGTCGGGGCTTGTGCAGCTCCTTCTTCTCTAATGAAATACCTGCTGGACAGATTAGACTGAGGCTTTAGTACGATTGATCAAATATACCCGATGCGGGATGGAGAACTATTGAGGGCGTCGTTGTAGGTGACAAGGTAGGTGAAGATGAAGCGGATGAAGAAGCCGACGAGTTAAATGGAAGAGCAGGCATGATGATGATGATTATAATGATGTGCAGTGCTAAATTTGATAGACGATGATTGTGTGGATGGATGATGCCAAGTGCTTGTTGTATGCAGCGGCTGATTTGGCAAGTATCGTCGAGGCGAGTTGGAGGTTTGTATGAGGATAGTTCTCTGGCGTCGATCCCGTCTTGCAAGGAGTTTAGAGTAAACTCTGGATTGGTGCTAGGCTTGCTGATGTTTTGCTGCTTCGAGAGAGGGAGGGCAGCACATGTCGGCTTTATACGCTGCGCACGTCAGCATTGCCCGAGGGAGGATCGAGTGACCTTGGGGCCCATCACGATCGGGCACACTCACCGCACAATCAGAAACAAGACAGCCGGCACCGTCACGACAAGTTCCACACATGAGATGCACCGATGCATGCATGCACCACCACCAGCCCCGGGCCAATGCAATGCCCTCGAGGGGGAGCAGATTGTTTCCTAGTACAGAAACGTGGTACAAGCCGGATAGGCCAGCCAGCCATGCGCCATTTTTTCCCATGTTACCCCTGGCCCATCGGATAGCCGTAGCGCTTCCCCAGGTTTTTTTTCCTTCACAATTTCTACTTGCCCGTTTGAGCGGTGTGCTCGGGCATGAGCACCAGGCTATTTTGAGCGGCATGCATCCGTGTCATACATGTCCCTTGCTTGAAGCAAATATCTCGCCCGCCAGCCTTGCCTTTTGAAAAGCTGGGTGCGTTGCGCCCAGCAGCACAAGAGGAGTTCGTGACGCACATGGTTTGATCCAGGCACGTATAGTGGCATCCCATGACGAGCTAAGCCGGTGGTATTGCATACGCCAGCTGCGGAGCACTCGCCACGTTCCGCAAAGACAGGCAAGACGGCTGTTGAAAAGTTCCCAGATGACACACACGCCAATATCCGCTACTCGTCATTCGCCATTCGGGCTCAAAATGAACAATGGACCAACTATCCTTGTTTATAGTGGACCGTCCGTGCATCGTGTAAGACACGGATTACCTACGCCACAAGTGAGCCCTCTGTGATCACGCATCCGCCCTCCAGCATCGTAGTGGTTGCCCTCGCCAGCTCATGCTACAGCTGCAATCTTTGCTGGCGAGCTCAGGCACCCGCTAACTCTCTGTCAACAACCACGTTGCTGGAAACGGCCCTTTGAGGCGTCTAACTTGGGTGCGCGTCAACGACTCGCGCGTACTACTATGGGGCCTTATGCAAGAAGAACGGGGAGACCTTTTCTAGACTTGCCATAATCTGCAGCTAGAACGTCCGGTTTTGACGACTGAACCGCAAGAAGCCGCAGCCAAGAGCATTTTTGCCGCAAAGCTGTTTACGCTGCTTGCATTTGTTACTTTTACTCTGCTCTACCGTGTACCATGGGCAACAAGGAAGATCCGGCCCCTTGCTGTCGCGTGCTATGATGCCATTTCCGCACACTATGGCAGTCCAGAAGCCCTGTCTGACGTACGACAAACCAGTCTAGCCCGGCAAAGAAACGTCACGATGTCTGTTTGCCAGCGAATTCCAAACACGTTCCGTGCGCATTACGCCTCATGTCATGAGGACCGCGACGATCGATAGCTGAGTGGAGGGGCTGGACGCTAAGCGAGACCAAACAGTGCGGGGCCGATTGGTGAAATCGGATGGCTCGGCTGAAACCCGTCATAGCATGTCGACACCAACATTGGCATGCATCCGGCATGCATCTTGTTATCAGTAGTCTGGCCATTCATCGCGAACTCTCCCTCCAGCCTTGATTGTATCCTTGAGGGGCAGCTGGGCCTATCATCCTCAGCACCGGAATTCAACCCAATGCGTCCGGTGAGCTCGTTGCATCGCGGGACTTTCTCAAACAGCACCCACATTCACCACCCAGGCCATGTGGAGCCTGTCGATCCGGTCCAGTCTACTCTAAAGCAACGTCACTTATTGACCTTTTTTCACAATGAATACGACATTTGTGGTTCGGAACATGTAGATTGCTATATCATTTATCCCTCACCGCTTTATCGCAACTTTATCTCTTGGTCATGCAGTAGCTTGGGCCCGCACATTCGTCTTTTTTGAATTGTTGAAATTACATGGACATGCAAGTGTACCTGAAAACGAGCAAGGTATGGCTCCTGTTAATTTGCCGCGCTTTGCAATGGCCCCGCCCTAGCTTGATATCTTGTCTTGTGCAGATCAATAAACTAGAGGATCGAGAAGATATTCTTGTTTCTGATTCTCTTCTACCAGGGACTTTACTATGACACCCCTCGTCTACCCCCTGTAATGCCTCAACCAGTATCGCGCGAGGCATTTACTAGACGACTAAGTCTTGCGATCTACGCCTACAACAGTAGGTACCGAGAATAATGAAACAGGAGGTATACCACGCAGCACAGCCTCAATTCTAGAAACCCGCACGCCATTTCTATTGTGTCTATGATACTACTACGCTACCTGAGCGATTTTACATAAGAAAATTCTCGCCATCAATCTAATCATCTGCCGTGACTGCTAAGCCTGTAGCTGTGTAAATACACCTTCCCATAATACACAAGTGGGTGCCCTCCTACGCGATGATTGCTGCAACGAGAGCTGTCGGATAAATGGCCACTAGAAGAAATGCCGCTCTCACGAGATGTCATACATCTGCGAGCGGAGCATGATCAACTCCGACGCAAGAGGGATTTCCCCAACTCAGCCCAGCTCTGCCACCGGAACCTCCGCACAGCATCGTGATGCCGAAGCTAGTACCTATCCATCAATGCCCCCTTAGGCCTATTCCCGCCATGGCCTCGGCACCAGCTCCTCAATCAGCTCATCTTCGATATCCCAAATCCCCTGCTGCGACAACCACTGCGTACGACAAAACGGGCAATCCTTCTTGTCATCTGGCCGATTCACAAACCACTGCCTCAGACACACCCGCCCAATAAGATGCATACACCCCGGTACATTCCGAATCTGCACGCACTCATGCGTCCCTGACGGCGGCTCCAGACAGATGGGACACTCTGTATTCGGCGGCTGATCTGCAACAACCGCGGACAGGGCTTGTGTATATCGCTGCATGAAGATGTTCGCAACCATCGTACTAACCACCGGATCGCCATACAGGAACGCGTCAGGAATGCTTCGCTGAACATGAACACCACGCATATCGGGTTCCGGGCTCATCTCCTCGTCCGCATACTCTTCCTGCCCCGCACCCGCATCGTCGTCCGAAATGTCCCTACCATACGTGTTACCACCGCGACGATGCCCGTAGATTCCACGATGCACTTGAGGCACGTGATGCGCATGCCCTCCAATCGCATCTTCCTCATCCTGCTCCACATCTTCATCCGCACCCGCATACACATCTTCCCCCCCACTCTCCCCAGCATACCCCCTCCCCTCAAACCCCTCCTCCCTATTCCTCCCCCGAAACTCATGGTTCCTGCCCTCCGCCCACTCCTCATACGTCCTCTGCGCCCGCCCTGCCCGCGCGAGCCACTCTCATGGACCGTGCTCCGCATAATGCGTATACGATGCCAGCACGCCGCTCGGCCCCGACAGCGTAGCCGTAATCGACGTAGTATACACGATGCGGCTACGGGGCGTGGGTGTAATATAGCCAATGCGACTATGATCCGCTGGCGGAGGATGCAGCAGCGGTCCTTCTTCTAAGTCTGGGTCGTATTGTTCGTTCCATTGCTCTTCCTGCTGCTGACCCTGCTCTACTTCATCTTCGATATTACTACCGTCTTCTACAGCGTTAGAGTCTTCTTCGACGTTAGAGGAGGAGCCCTCAAACCCACTACAAGTATCCCCAGACACCTCACCTTCTTGCTCGCTCAGCAGGACAGTACTGCCAGTAGTGTTCTCGCGCTCAGCACGGCGTGCAGCGTGGCGAGCTTCGACTTCAGAGTCGTAGTCGAAACCGTAGCCATTGCCAGGGCGGATATAGTCGTAATCGGAGCTTGAGCCTGTTTCTGCACTTGAGTCTGAGTCTGGTTCTGCATGGGGGTGGGGAGGGTTGGAAGGAGGCATACTTTATGAAGTATAGGTTGGTTTGTTGTCGTATTTTTCTTTTCTTATCCTTTACTGTGTTGAGGAGGGTGTTGTTTGTATGTGGTTGATGCACTTTGGTATGTTGCAAGTATAAGATCATTTTGAGGGGTTGTTTTGGTATGAATATATACTAGGGGTTGAGGGAGTTGTTGTTGTTGTTGAACAGTGTAGGGAGAAGATGAGCGTTTAATTTTGTTACTGGACAACTTATGAGCTGGTAGGTTTGCTGGGTGCGATTCACTCTGTTCGCGTGATTCATTGTGTGCGAAGGATGGTGTGGTACTAATTTGGTGAAAGACTTAGCAATCGTTGTCTGATGAAATGCAGAGAAAGATAGAAATTTGTGGATAAGTACAGAGCATTCTCTTTCCATTCTCTGAAACCTCACAAACGTGTTGTTTTATGCTATATGTGTACTTGCAGCATATATTTCACTGCAGCAAGCTACAAAAAAAATACTACATCCCCCCCACTCAACCCCACACATCCTGCATCTCCCAACGCCTATGCTCTCCCACCCCTGCCCCCGTCATATTCCCAGCCGGCCCCAAACTCGGCGGCACATCCTCCACGCCCGTCCCCCACGCGCTCTCCTGCGGGCCAAGCGTAAGTTCCAAGACACCTCCCTCTAGGAAAAAGCTATGCTGAATCCAATTCCTCGTATACGGCTCCCCATTCAGCGTCGCAGACTGAATATAAATATTCTTATACTCTGGATCAAAATTGATATTGCGGATCGTTGCCGTCTTACCCGTCTGGCCGTTCGTAATAGAGACGGATTCGAAGAACGGAGGGATGATGAAGTATACGTCTTGGCCTGCGTTGGGGAAGAAACCCGTCATGACGAGTGCTTGAAATGAGCCCATTGCGCCGCTGTCGTCGTTACCGGGTATGCCGCCGACGGTGTCGTTGAAGAGCGATGGGATATACTGGTGTGCACGCTCGGCCGAGAGTGCCGGCCGACCCACGTAGTGGTATAGGAAAATGGTAAGGAACGCCTGCTCGTCGCCTACGTACAAGATACCGGATTCGTGGAGCCAGTCTAGGCGTGCGGTAAAGCGCTCGTGACCGCCTAGAGTTGTAATCAGCGTTGCCATGTCGCCAGGTGCGAAGAACGTGTATAGCCAGACTGGTCCTTCGTAAGTTTCGCCGCCCTGCGGGTTGAGATAGCACGACGTGAAATTGAACAGTGGGGAGCAGAAAATGGGGTCTTGGAGCCCCCATGTGCCGTTTTCGTAGCGCGGCTGCAGGAAGCCTACGAAGCCGGTGTCCGTACCGTTGATGATGCTGGGTTGATCGGCTTTGAACATGTTCTTCCAGTTTGCAGAGCGCGACAGGTACTTTTGGTAATCTGCCGTGTGGCCGAGTTCACGGGCTAGTAGGGCAATGGTGAAGTCGTTGTAGGCATATTCGACTGTGCGCGAGATGGAGCGAGTTTCTGTGCCTATGCCTTCTACGTCGGTGTTTTGGGTGGGAATGTAACCGAGTGCCTTCCAGGATACGAGGCCGCCTCTGCCTGAACATATCATGTTAGCAATGATGCGAGGAAGAAGAACACTAGGTGCGGATGGTACCCTCGACATCCCAATTTATAGGCTCAACTTCCGCGTCCTTAACAACAGCTTCGTACGCCAAGTTCCAATCAACTCCAGCAGTAATGTTCTTCAGATAGGCATCTGTAATCACAACATCTGCATTCGAGCCTCCTTGGGTAAATCCCTTACATAGACTCATTCGGCAATCTGGCAACCACCCTTCATTACGGTAGATATCGAGCAAGCTTCTGATCATCAGTGTCTGGCTGTGCGGGTCTAGTATCGTAAGCAAAGGATGAATCGACCTAAAACTGTCCCAGATGCAGTAATAGGAGTCATAATAGGGCTCATCAGACTTCCAGAAAGGGTTCTCGCCCGTGTAGTCTTGCGGGCTGATCATTGTACGGTACACACCGCTCCAGAATGATGTGAGGAAGCTTCCGTCCACACCTCCACTCTCAATCGTGATGACGTCTAATTTAGAGCGCCAGGCAGTGTCAGCAGCTTTGACTGCCCCATCAAAGTCGAATGAAGGTATCTCGCGTTCCGCGTTCGCGCAAGCCTGGTCCTCACTGACCAAGCTCACGCCCACCCTGACTAACATCTGTTTGTTCTGGGTGGGTTTCTCGAATTGTACCCAGCCACCTGACGGCCGCTGGCCTGTCGTTTGCCGGCTGTCGTATGGGTTGACATCTAGAGCCAGTTTTCTTGTAGTTGCTCGAGTATTGGACCAAATACCCGCGCGCCTGACTGCAGCGCCATCGAAATCGATACAGAAGAATGACTGATATGTGGTGACGCCGAAAGACGGTTCAAAGCGTCCGCGGCCAGTCATGCGTCCGGTCTTTGCATCTACCATCATGTTGGCCTCGCTCCGCGTATTTGGTAGATCCGTGAGCTCGACCAGAATATGCGGGCTTAGCGTCGTGTTTGGCGTCGTGGGTGTTTCCGGGAATGTTATGCGATACAAAGCCGTGCGGTTCGTTACCGTAGTCTCAGTCCTGATATTGTTGTTCAAAGTAATGTCAAAGTATCCAGGTTTAGCATGTACACTGCCTGCTGTACGATTGGTGGCTCGCTGATATTTTGGGTATTTACATTCATTGATGTCATCGTTCGGGCACCCAGCTTGTGCAAATATTGGAAAGTTCCCGAGCGATGGCGATCCACCGGTACCGGAGTCGTGCATGTGGGAAAATCCATAAATGGGGTCAGATTCTTCTGATGAAAATCCTCCTTGGTTCTCTCCTATCACATCAGGTCCGGCTTTTGCCATGCCTAATATAGTCAGCACATCGCCTTTTATATTCCTTATTGGTGAGATACATACCGAACGGCAGCGTTGCACCAGGAAAAACATGACCTGATTATGGTTAGTTTCCACAGCACAGAGGCTTGCAACCTACGAACCTCCATTGATTGTTCCAATTAGCGGATTAACATATTCGACTCCCGAGCTCACTTGTGGTGGTGGGTTTTGCTGCGCTTTAGCGGACGTTGCGAGAAAGCACAGTAATGCTGCTGAGGCATGTTTGGATAAAAAGCGATCAATCATTTTGACTAAATAACAACAAAATCTCAAGGAGCCAGGAGTGAGGCGTTCACTGGAATGGCTTCGCAAGTTTCCTGCCCGCGCTTCCTCACATACTTTATAGCTTCCCTTCGTTACACATGACTTGGCATTTGCACGATACTCCATAGCCATACTACCTACCCCGACGGAGTACCTCAATTTTTCCCTGCATGCAGCCTGTATGTCATTCCCAAAAATGGTAACCACCTGACTCTTCGTGGTTGGTATTGCGGTAGGATACCACGTTGGAGTACTGCCGAGCGCGGGGGACCGCGGGGTAGGCATGACTATCCTTGATCCATGATGTACTGACTAGGAGCCGTGAGGTCCGATTGGTATCATAGGTTGCATGCGGAGTTCTTTTGTGCGAGATGATGGGGACGGACCTGATGTGGAGCAGAGAACCGTACATTAGCCCGAAGTATGACGTCGCCAAGTTACATTCTGTGGTCGGTAGTCGGGAACAAGCATGCCTAGGTCCTGGTACAAAGATGCTTGGTGTCAATAAACGGCTCCAGAGCATCGGTCCGTATATGTACTGACTTCAGAAAATGCAAAAACTATCACGACTCCATTTGGGAATGCAGCAACCATCTCCGTGACGTATGAGGAAAGGCACTAAACCACTTATGGCATAGATACGGAACGCACGCTTTGCAGGTGAGAATGAACTTGAACAGTACTTTCAAACTCACAACCGTCTCCAAGAACATTAAACGATATACTCAGGGCGCTCATGCTGTGTGTGCTAAAGAAAGCCTGACTACTAGAACGACACCAAGTACCACTGACGACTGAATTCACTGCCCAACAGTTTTCCGAGCAGACGCCGAGATGAATTTGCAATGTGTGCCCAGAATAGGCACAGCCTACATACATAGTGAATGAACGGTAACTTAATATATGGATCTTGAGCCTAGATTCAGGCCAAAACCACAGCCATATCTTCTGGTGTAAGTCGCCACCGCCCAGCCACAGTACTCTCCGGCTATACGGCACGTGGGCAGCCTTACGAGGCTGTTCAGGCACACCATACGCCTCGGTGAAGACAGGCCAAAGATCACGCGACTAAACGATGAGCCCACCCGCATGGCGCTCCGCCAATCTTGTTATCGCGGCGGCTCGTCTAACGGTCTGAAAGGATGCAGCCCAAGCTTTACTTACGTAGTGGCGCTTCAGGCAATAACAACACCAGTCTTGGTATCCCAAACAGGCCTCCTCGGGAACTTCGCAACTCGGGCCCTAGAAACATAAAAGAAACGCGATCCCTGCAACTCATCACAATGTGGAGACCCAAAAAACTCGCACATTTTCCACCTCCTGTGTATCCGCCATGTCTGCCGACTTGCCTTCGTTTTGGTTTCCACCACCTGGACCGGCTCTGCCTCCATTGCCAGAGTCTACCCTGGAGCTCAAACCGCCCGAAGATGACCCACGCTTGAACGGTACCATTGAATATGTAGAATACTTACATTGGTATATGTACAATATACTTCAGAACGAGGAAAACTACCTGAGCGGATCTTTCAGCTGGAATGAAAGCGATATCCACATGGGCGACGTCATAGTACCTGTGTCCAAAGCCCCGGAAAGGAATATATACGGCACAGAAGACGATTGGGTAAGGGGATGGGAAATGTGGTGCTTCAGGTGTCCCTCAACTGTTGCTCCGGAGGAACCAGAGAGAGACCCAATGACCGGATACCCCTTTTGTGGCGAAAGCATCCTCAGTATGGAGCCCTTGAGGTATTTCTCTACTACGAAAAAGGAGCCAGTGTTGGAAGTCCCCGTATCAACCGTCCCAGGTGCCGATAGTGTCATGGCGTGTGTAATTGAACAACAGGTAGACCCAGAATGGTTTAGAGTCAGTTCAACTGCACCGGAATTAGGCCCTATCATCACCAAACCCTTCATCGTATCCCGCAGCCTCAGAGACTCCGACTCAGGAACACGATACCGCTACACCGAAACCTTCCCCTGGGGCGTCCTCGATGACGCTCAATCCCAACAAGCAACTCCCTCCCCAACCCCAACACCCACATCAACCACCGACTTCTGGGACTGGTACGACGACTACGCCCCCACAAGCGTCAGCAACCCATCTGTCAACCCCGCAGCCTTCACATCCAACAGCAAAGGCAGCGCTCCCTCCGCGGGCATAATAATCGGCGTCCTAGTCCCCGTCGCCCTCATCATAGGCATCGTCGCTTGTTTCGGCAAGCGAAGCCGCGCTCAGCAGCGCAAAGCGACTGCCGCATCTGCGCCGCCCATGAATACGAATGCGGCAGCTGATGCGCGTCGTCAAGCGGCTGTTGCTGCGCGCGCGAGTCGGACTACCGCCGCACCAGTGACGGTACAAGGGGATGTAGATGATATGCCACCTCCCGCCTACCACAAGGTCGTCTCGAATGTAGAAAGGATGGATATCGAACGCAGGATGCATGCGGAAGGGACGGCGCCTGTTGGGTGGCCGCCGACATATACAGATGCACGACATGCGGAGTCGACAACGGTAACACAGCCCGACCCTGTTGCGAGTGTACCTGGAACGAGCCGGGCGCCGTATCCGGCGCTGCCTTCGTCACCTACACGGTAGCTGAGGTTGGGAATATGGTTGTTCGATTAATTGGTTTTCAGACTGGAACACGTTGAGAATATGCCACGCACACTTGTCCCAATTGGAAGGAAGAAGATGAGATTGAGCTTGCACTGCTGTGCTCATTAGCACTTTTATATGTATGTTCGTCCACACACTTCACTGAGAGCAGCTGCGGGACAAATGTGATAGAGATCACATGGCAAGGAAGGATGGGAGAAGAGGCTTGAATGATCGAATGAGAAGATGATCGGGGTGGCTTGGGAGGCCATAAGGGGAAGACTTCATCTGAGTATCGCAGAGGTTGACAGTGGCGATGAGACGATGGAGACGATGTACTACTTTTAGATTTCTTATTCTCTGTCTTTTGCTTTTTGGATAGGTGGAGAACACTTCTCGAGACTGTCAACCAGTATGTTTGCACTGGTACAAGTGTCCATACAAGCTATGCTATCCGACCCGAGACAGGGTGTCTCGCCATGGGGTATCATCTAGAAATTCAACTCATCATGTTCATTACATTTTTGTTGTTTTGCCCAGCACCTAGCCCGTACGATGGTACTTTTCTTCGTGCCCATCAGCTACATTGACGCCATGCGATCCATCGTCTGCCTCTTCCCTTGTCCTTACTGTGCCAGCACCTGGACCCAGCTCTTCTCCAACCACCATGCCTTTGAAGTTACCGTCTTCATCGAGATATTCGTCCATGTTGTCTGCTGTAATCCAACCCGATGCACCAGGCGCTGTGTCATCTAGCATATCATCGCCCTCATCGTCACTAGCGTCTGGGTCAGGATGAAGATCCGCACATGTGTTCAGTGCAGCGAAGAACTCAGGAATGCATGTGTCGGTAGGTTTCGTTGCGTAAGATGGTGGCAAAACGGTAATCTCTAGCATACGAATGTCATCGTCTTCGTTGACGGTTTCGGCGTCGTTAAGTGAGATGTTCATGTATAGTGCTTCGATGGTCGATTTGTACTTCATTGTTGCATGCAGAGCAAGAGATGGGTATGGGATAGATACGCCGACAGGAGAGGGAGTGTTTTGGAATAGAATGAGATTTCTGTGAAGTTGGTTAGCACAAGCTATTATTCATGGCGGAGAAGGAGAGACATGCTCTGAAGAGACCCAAACATCAACCCCGTCTACCAAATCCTCTTCTCCCTCGCGTCTTGAATTGAATTTGCTGAATGCGGCGTCTTGCTGAAGCTGATCGGCAGCAACGGAGAGAGTCATGGCTTCATAGTGGGCGTGAAGAACGGGATTTGCGCCGAAGAAAGAAGCTGGCGTCTGTTGCTGGTGTTCTGAGAGCGGGGTGAAGTCGGCGGCCTTGGGCGGGCTGTCGAGATATTGGAGTGACATGGTGAGATGCGATGATGTTTCTGTTTGGTTTATGAATCCAGAACCAAAGATGAAAAGAAGATATATGCGTATGAAGTGTTTATGAGTTGTTTACACGCAGAGAGACCAAAAAGTCGCGGGAGCTAGCTGAGCGTCATTGCCCCACCTCAGCCTTGGCAGGTACCAAATGCATTTCCGCGATCTCCCCCAACTCAACTTCTCTTATGCGTTGCAAAATGCGCAACTTTGTCGCATAGCAGAAAGACATCCGGAAAGACATCCCATAGATTTGATTATCGCCCTTTCATCCGGATACATCACCATCCCACAATGCCTTGAGCACGTACCTCGATGAGCGGTGCCATCAAATCGCAACCGTCCCAGCACCTCGCAACACATCTCTCACCTTCACCACCACCACTACCTTAACATGGCCTTCCCCACAACCCCCACCGCCAAATTAACCGGCCATAACGGCATCGTTCACGCTGTCGCCTACTCCTCCGGCACCCAGTCCTACATCCTAACCGGCTCCTCTGATCGCACCATCCGCCTCTACAACCCCAAGCACGCACCGCCCACCTCCGTCACGCCCACCCAATCCGCACAGCGCCCCCCAGGTCTCGTCAACAAATACACAGCGCACGGCTACGAAGTCCTCTCCCTCGACGTAAACCACGCCAACGACAAGTTCGTCAGCACAGGAGGCGACAAGACCGTGTTCCTCTGGGATGTGCAAACCGCACAGACGGTGCGACGCTGGACAGGACACTCCGGACGCGTAAACCGTGGTGTCTTTGGCGGCGAGGGCGATAGCGTCGTTGTCAGCGCGAGTTTTGACGGCACAGTCCGCATCTGGGATGTTAGGTCCAACGCCTACAAGCCCATTATGATGCTCTCGGATGCCAAGGACAGCGTTTCCGACGTTGCCATTCACGACGCGGAGATTGTGGCGGCGAGTGTAGACGGACGCATTAGAAGCTATGATTTGAGAACTGGCATGTGTCAAGTCGATGTTATAGGGCCATCTTGCACAAGCTTGACTGTGAGTAAGAAGGGTACAGAAGTCCTTGTTAGCTCGCTTGATTCCTCGATCAGACTCATGGATCGTATCAATGGCGGGCTCCTGAAAACGTACAAGCACGACGCTTTTGTTAATATGGAGTTGAGGGTCAGAAGTACACTCGGCTTGAACGATAGCGTCGTTGTCAGCGGTAGTGACAATGGCTTTGTGTTTGCATGGGATATGCTACATGGAACTTGTCTGCACAAGTTTAAACACTCGGATATGACAGAGGTTAAAGGATCACCGCCAACTTCGCTTGTAAAGGGCAAGAAGGATCTTGTGTCTGCTGTGGCATTTTGTCAGACAAGGCCTGAATGGTGTAGCGGAGGTGGCGACGGCAATGTCACTGTATGGGGTATGCCAAGTTAGGAATTGCATGTACTGTACATGCGCTGTTTGGATTTTCATGATACCCTTGTTTAGACAGCCTTGCTTGTATGCATAGTTACTAGCTTCCATGTACGTGTCGGTCTCTGGGCTGTGATGTAGCGTCGTTACGTGGCCGTGCTAATCGGTCGTGGTGAAGATCGTCAAGGGCGCATTCGTTGACCAACGAGAAACGATGGTGATTGCAAACTGTGTTATTAGTAGTCACACACCACGTGTAGAGAACTTTTTTTAGCTTCATGTGTTCGTCGAAAGCAACAAGAGAGTTGTGTATTTCTGTAGAGAGATCAAACGTATATGAGCTATTCTTCATCCCGAAGCCAACGTGATACTTATGCAATCTGGTCAAGGAGACGTATAAAAAAGGAGGAAGAAAAAGCTGCCAACACTGCAGCAAAATGTGCACATAAGTCGTGACTTCGTAATGCCAACAGTTTTTGAGATCCTGTCTCCTGCTGATCAACTGCTATGAAAACGTATAGAAAGTAAGCAGTCTGGGCTGGATATAAAAGTCAACAAAGTGTGCGATAAGAGATGTCCCGTATAACGGAATTAGGGAGACAAGGAAAGAGAAAAGTCAGTAAAACCGACATGACACTCGTTCCAAAGCCGGAAATAGACTTGGCGAGTGTTTGGGGCAATCAGGAATTGACAACTAGTAATAATACCTGGTCTGGTATCCCCGCTCATAAGCACAAAGTTCGTCGGCCGTGGTTGGCGGAGAGGTCCACACATATACGACCACACCTCTTTCTGATTGTCCTGTCGGCAAAAAGGTTAGCCAAACTCTGTACAACATCAAGTATTAGGCTTGACTCACTCCCGTGATTGAATGTGCCGGGCACTTGCCAATTCCCATTTGTGAACATTTGAGGCAGTCTTGCCTGCAACTCCGGTGGGCGTATAGCAAAAGCGATGAGAGCAAGAAATATACCCAGCTCTCCTTTAAGACCTCCGTAACGTGGGTGGTTTACCTCGGCTGCACTCTCATAATATATATCGGGTAGCAGCATCCTCAGCCAATTCTGATCTCTTCTTCGAATGTCGACTGTACGGTGTTGTTCCGCATTACAAAGATACGAGTATTCCCTTTGAGCATGGTGCTCAAAGTACAGAGGCTGCCAGGTGTTGCAGTTTCTGTAGGTGTCTGGGTTGGTTGCGTCACCTTTCAGAACCCAAAACCCAAAACCCCCAATATAGAAGACTGAGTATGTGCTGTATGGCCGAGCGCCTTGTGAAGGCTGTGGCATTCCGTAAATTTGATTTCCGTCACAATGCCACCACTGGCCGCTCACGCCTCCCCCCACTGACCTGACGGCTCCTGCTTCAAAGGTGGGTATCCCATGATGCCCACTGCTGTCGTACGTCTGTGAAGCGCTTGGAGTTTTGCCTATTTCGTCGATCCTGAACAAGTATCTTGGCTTTGATCTCGTAAGTCCCAATCCTGAAAGACTAATGGAATGTGAGTGACTGACCATGATGGAAATTCGTATATCCACGGTTTTGCATACACTCGAGACCCACAAGAAGGTGTGTGTGGCTGTGCCGTGGATGCGCTTGCCCTGCTCTGTACTATGATTCCTCTTCATCACCAGACCGCTTTATCCTTCATCTCCGCCATGCGGCTCTGCGATCTTTGGGCTCTGAGAAAAGCCATCCCAGTCAAAGGGTCAGACGACAAGCTCCTACATGACCATGACGCGGGACAGGAATCTGTACGAAGCCTCTGATAAGCTAGAAGTGTTGCCAAATATGCATGGCGCAGGATCCTACATCGGCTGCATGCGATAGGAAGCCAGCTGGGTTTCTCCTACCCCGCTGTATGCCATCATTACCCACGGGCGGCTGTAGCAAGTTGTCATATAATTGTTTCATCTCGCCGGGAGACTAGTACGCTAGCGAATACTGTGCTAGTAGTGCTTCAGAAGCTCTTTTCGGTATGAGTGAAATTGTGAGAGCATACAAGACGCAGATGTGGGCTTGGTAGCGTTTTCGTAGTAATCGGGTTCTCATAGCTGTCCAGCCTGTCAGCTGCAAGTTAGCAAAAAGCACTGGTGTCAGCTAGCCGGCTGGGCATCGCGCTCAATCAAGTCTCATAGCCTGCATGAGCAACACCCGATTCTGGCTGCCGGCTAACCAGCGGCTCGAAAGCCACAGCGCGTGCCCAAGTGAGCCGAAGGGTGGATCCCTCCATGCAGAGCGATCCAGGTTTTCTGTCCAGCACGGCAGTTGGCGTCAGATACCGGAGAGAACTGATCCGTTGAAAATTTAGCTAGAAAGATGCTCGACATAAGGTCATTTGCTATAGCGCCCAGGATGCGAAGGATGATCCGGCTCCGAGAAGAAGCACGCAAGGAAGTGAACTGGTCTTGTACGTTGTATTTTCCACCTGACTAACGCACTCCGAAGAAACAACGAACGTCTAACCGCAATATTTTGAGTCGATCCATGGATAACAGGAGATTGGCGGTAAATCAACTGACTGTGCCTACTCCCTTCATATGGTCGCACGATTATCGCGATCGAGATCTGCACGTGCTTGAGCGTGGCAAGGAGCGAATGAGAAATGCGGCTCTGCGTGTGATGAGGGGTTATAAGCCGGCGTAGAGGCACTACTAGCTAACATTCATGCGGGCGCTTATTGTGTCGAGCGGCACTCGTGTCTAATGGCCTCCGTGTACCTGGCGATAATGCGACGCGTTTCCAGTAAGTTCTTTTTGCTTTGGTCTTTTCGATACGAATTGGAGTTGCTTCTCGTTTGGAGGAGCGAGGGGCGTACGGGAATTAAGTAGACGCTTGCAGGATTGGGCTGACGGTGCTAAGGCCGGTGGAGGACCTCCCCATGCATGCTTTGCCTTCTTCACTTCATGTCTCTTTATTCTGTAAGATTCTATTGGCGAGTTTGTTTAAAGCCGCTAATGGAAGCAGCGGATGTGCTTCCCCTTGGTAGCGCCAACAGATTGCTGATCGAGGCAGGTGTTTCTGCGACCTGCAGGATCGTGCACAAACCTTTCACCGGATTTCGAACCTTGCAGCTGAACAACCACCCTCGAGGCGACGAGTCTCGGCAGAAGAGGCGAGTAGAAACTCACCGGTCACGCCCTTACGCTACAGGAAACGCTCGTCACAATCAGGGTCATGCGCCCACCGCCACTGCTGAAGGCCCAATCGAAAGAGGCGGTTCCCGTCAGCATCCGCACTGGAATCAAGGTCTGCCACAGTCAGTGCCGTATCCGCGGCTGCTCTCGAATCCAGAGTCCAGTCAGATAAGGCACATCTAGACTACGACCCCGCATGCGTTGCTCTCGACACAATTGTAGCCCAGACACAGGCTCGAGCGAGATCCTAACAGCGTTTGGCACCCGGCAAACCTGGCAAGCATGAATTTGTCATGGGGACGTGTGGTGGAACAATAGAAAAAGGCTGCAGCTTTCCGATGCCAAGCGAATCCCTAAGGCGTCGACTCCCGATGGCCACTTTGGCGATCCTTCCAGCAACTTTTAAAATTCGCAAGGGGCTTAATTTGGGCTTACAAGTTCTCTCGGATACTAAGCGAGCTTCCAGGGAGTCGGTTACGATGCGTCTTAGGATGACAATATCGAGAACGCCTCCGGAATTGCCGGCTGGTGATTTCAACCGTGGGCCAACAACGAAGGAATCCGTCGATTGAAAAGACCACTACACCAGGAGAGGCGAGTCACAACTAAATAAGCACGGCGTTAATAATCGAGAAGAAGTATTAATGCTCTTATTTCTCTTGTAGGAAGGCCTGCGTGCGGAGTGGGACGCCCTGCCAAGTGGACACTGGTGATATGACAAGGTTAGTATGCACTTGCGTTTGTTCACGCAATTCTCGACTTGACAAGGAAAGAAAGATCTGATGGGGAAATAGGCGGCTCAAGTGCCCGTCACCGAGATGATTAATACCAATCGAGAGTCTTCTCAGCAGCACACCAACATGGAAGCTGATCCCGAGAAATGCGAATTGCGACACCATCAGAATTAGCAATCCCGCGAGCATTCCAGAGGCCAGAGATCCCAGCCCGCCCCTTTGTCACTGCCATGTCACATCCAAAGGTCAATCGAATGGCTCAGGGCCTGGCAAGCGACTGCCGGAATGCGGGTATCGGCCGTACCGACGACATCTCGGGAGCCTATGTGGGGACACGGACCCAGGGGCGAATGAGCGTACGAGGCGTAGTCGAAAGGCTGGGAGAACCTAGAAGCCTGGCGCTAAGCGGCAGAGGGGGTTTGGGGCGTTGCAAACGATGACAAGTGAATATATTGTGGCTCAACACTGAGCGCACCCAGATTTGGCTCGAGGCTTGTCCGAGGAGGCTGATAACACGCAGAACATGGAGGAAAGGAGATGAATGAGGTCGAGTTTGGCATGCGGGAGCTAAGACTGGAAGGGCCAGATGACGGTTCTTTCCTCAAGGCAAATTCGGACGCCTTAGCCTTCTGGCCAATCACGAGTCGCACATGCCACGCACAACGTTTGCCTGATTCTGGTCCGCACAACGACACACGAACTTTCTCACGTCAGCAACAGACAAAGAGCCGTCAAACAACAGCTTTGCGGGTAGCTCCTGGATCAAGGCCATTATTTTATGTCCTCCTACAAGGTGATTGTCCTCTTTCGTTGTCTGAGAGCATTGATCGATCTAGATTGCGACTACATGTCCAGAATTATTAAAACCGGGGTTTTATGAAATCTACTTGCACAAAATGTGCTCATAAGCAAAAGCCCTCCTTCAAAAATGACCACCCTCTCTACGATTTTAGACAATGATTCGATTTTGATATGCATCAATGAGAAATGATGTCAAGGAATATTGATTTGTTCTATGTCAGATTCTACCTTACAGAAAGGCTCCTTCGATATGGCCATTCCTTGTGATTATTCATTACTAAAGAGAATATGAAAAAAAATGAAAACTAAACATCTGAATGCGTACAATCAATTTCTGGCTAATATCGCCGTTGCTGGGCGATATCTATCTCAAAAGTGTGTGAATGCTGTTCCAAGAAGCACGAGCACTGTAGAATATTCCGCGCTGCAAAAGACAAGCACATTGCTCAAGAGCGCGCGGATAAGATCCAGTAGTTGTTTTGGTAGCCTCGAATAGAATGTATGCATGTTTCGATAGCGAAATTGCTTCATTATTCTCTCCTCACCCGATAGCTACCGGATATGATTTCATATACCCTGCAGCCGTCGGACATGCCCCAGAATACGCCGACCCGAATGCACAGTACCAGCCCGATAATAATCGGACATACCTCCATACACCCGGCAATTGTCGGACCTTATATAGTATCTCTATTCTCCTTAGTCAGTTCAGGTTGTCTAGCAGCCGTCGTTAGAGACAAGACATGGGTTTCTGATCACAACAGTTATAGGCTGAATTTTGTATAGGAACGGCTAGTATGACTGTGCAGTACCAAGAAAACAGGAATTAATTAGGTTCATGCCAAAGGCTTCGAGAACAAAATTATGATGCGGTATTGATTTATTATGCCTATCGGTATCTTCACTATTTTCTAAACTGATATAACTGGTTCGTCTATAAAGTGATGAGTTATATTAGTATGTCTCTACAATTTAAATATGCATCAAAGTCTTAGGGTTTAAAACTTTCTATGATAGCCTGGTGTAATTACTGTGTTTGTTGAGCTTCTATAGACACGTACCACTATTCGCAGATGTAATAACTTTCCCATGCGGATTCCTGCTCTACTGTTAATTGAATGATAGATGGGCAACATCAAACCCTTTCAAATCATCGTTCCCCTCAATACTCCAACCTAAACCCTCCAGAAATACCACCACTTCCATCTTCAACTGTTCTGCATCCGCAAAACCCCCCTCCCAGCACTTCCGCACAATCTCACCCATATGCTCTATCTCAAGCGGTGGCCACTCCCTCCGTGGAATCATCATCGAAACCTCCTGCCACGATTTACCTGTGCGATCTCCCGGCCAGAATCCAGTCATGAGCTCGTACACTACACATCCGTACAAAAACAAGTCAGTCTGTATGCTCTGTTGAGATTGATGCTCAAGCGGATGGAACCACTCGCCAGAGGAGCGGGTACAGTGGTACCAGACACCGTTCGTACGCCTCCGGAATCCGGCGCTTACAAACCCAACAAGGGATAGGGATAGTCGGGAGTCCGAAGAGAGCCAGCAGTCCTCGAGGCTGAGGTCGCCGAAGATGATGTTGTGTGCGTGGATGAAAGATAGTGCCGATATAATGTGAAGTGCCCACTGAAACATGAGAGGTCGGTATGAGGCGAGGATGCGGCTGGATGCTGCATCTAAGGGGGCGCTGTACATGGCAGCTTTGTTCTGCTGAATGAAATCGGTCACTGGAGGTCCTGAAGGCTTTGCGAGCACGGGAAATGCAGTCCATGGGTCACGACGCAGATATCTATTTGCCTCGATCAGCAAAAATTGGAAGACCGGAAGTTCCGGGTAAGTCATAGCTTACGGTACAAGATGTGGATGGGATTCGCTGATCTGTTCTTCATAAATCACTGTTGTTTGCCAACATCGCCTCGCGCCGTGCTCCCCCCGCCAGCTGGCGTCTGGCGAGTCATCAGGGTCATGAATATACTCCTGGGGTAGGAGAATTACAGAGTCATCGTCAAGTTGCAATGCTGCAATCATGCCTAGATCGGCGCTGTAGCCAGGTACAGTCCCAGGAATGGGAGGGGGACGTTCGCCCGTTGTAGATGGATTGAGCCAAATTCTATTGACAGTTCTCGCCATATCCAATCAAATGTTTTGTTTAAACAGGAGGTGGGAATGAATTGTGATGAGTTCGAATTCTGCATGCGGCACATTTTACGCAAGCGAAAATTTAGTAGTCCAGTAATGTGCTGACTAACAAATCAATTGTTAACGTCAGAGCGCCTTGGATGTATTTTACACAAATTGGTAACCGCAGCGGTGTTTCCAATAAATCGTTAGGTCATTGACATTTTTGATTGTGTGAGTCGTTCTCATGCTCAATGGAATTAAGAAAGCGTTTGTATCAGCAGCACATTTGTCGAATACTCACCAGTATTATCTATAAGAAAATAGGCATACGCCTGTAAGTCAAATATTCTAGGGCAGATTACAGAACGGTTTACAGAAGCGATTCTGCTGATTTGTACGAGGACTATCGTCTCTATAGACGAGCGGTGTTCACCATCTGTTTAATGATAATGCCGAGAGCTACACGGACTCCAAGCTTACCCCTTTCGTTCATAAACATGAAGTGAACAGGCGCTTTTCTGTCTTAATCCAATATTTACGGAGTATTTGAATAACAAAGAGAGAGGAGCGTTATAGCGTAGATACTAGTCTAAATACTATTTAACCGTTATTAGCAAAACCTCCACGCGCTATCTGGCATATGCTTGCTCACTGGACTGCCTCCATTTCCTATAATGCCCTTTGTATATAATTAGTCAGCTATTTAATTTCGCCATTGTCAAATATATCGGGCTCTTGGATCGGTTGCTCGTTGTCGCGAAGGCATATTTCTCCCGGATATTAGCTCTCGAAGATCTGCCGAACATGGTAACCTAGCGAAAAAGATCAATAATACCTGTAGTAAAGCCGATCGTGATTCTGGTTCAATAGCGTGTATCTGTTAATGCTTTCCAGAATACGCACAAATATTTTCGCGAAACTAGTCTTGTTTGTTAATGGAGACATAAGTCGATAAGTTGTTCGAGACGACTAACTAGTCTTAATCCTCGATCACGTCCCTCAACAATCTACCCAACTGTACAATGGTCGGTATGAACATCCGAGCATACTATGTTTAGATTCACAGCTATCTCGGTTTCTTGCCTTCATTATAGGTCATATGCATTTACTTACTCATTTTCCAGATCCACATATCCTCAATGCATGATTGCCATAGTGTCCAAAATAAGGAGGACTTCAATCAAGGAGCGGCGTGACCAATCATGTCAGATATCGATCCACCATGACTCTGAGACATACAATGAAACGAACTTCCCACGTATGCGGCAATTGTTTGGAATTATCACATCGGACATGCAAGTCAGAGCACTAGAGATAAACAACAACAGAGCCAACTCGCAAGCGATGCAAACTGCAGATCTTCGTGATCATCAATTTATCAAGGGCAAGAAAAGGCGAATACCTATGCCACACCTCCTTTCTCACCAACCTCCCGAAACACCATGCCTGCAACTCAAGACAAACAGTAACATCCTCTCCAACGCACGCACCACCAGCCGATGATACGTAACTCCACGCGACGCAACACCGCAACCCGCCGTGCCGCCCCCTTCGCATTGCGCGATATGACCAGCCTCTGCAACCGAAGCTCAAAAATGCATAAGTATAGACGACAGGATCTGCATATATATGACTAAGAACTTACCCCCCAGATAAGTAAGTATGTTACCCACCGGGGCGGGAAGAAATCAGTAAGTCCTTCAGGATGCTTACGTCCGAGCCCATGATTCGTCACGGAGAAAAATAAAAAATGGGGCACTATAAGCAGGGGTATCGCGAACTATTATGTTCCTTGTTAGCCGCCCGTTGCTGGCTGCCGTTGTCAATGTGTCAACATGTCAGGACAAACGCCCCCCCGTTGTTTAATTTTAAATTTCCGACTGGTTTCGTCGAATAGAATCACAAAAAGGCTAGCATAGTAATGTATTCATTCAACGATGGTGTTCCGAGGAGGTAAGTGGTAAAGTCGGTATGTGGCGGGAGGGGGGATTTCTCAAAAGGGTAATTCGACACTGCGCGGGATGCAACGTATATAGGCGAACCTGTACTAGGCTGTTTCGCATTGGACCGAACAGGCAGACAACGGTAAGTATATGACAGGCGCGTATAGTTATGTGTAAAGTATGTCACGTCACCCTTGCAAGAGAAATACGTATGGGACAACAACCCACGCTGGCGGGACCGCAAGATGGCCCGAGACGAGGGGGCGCCAGACGGGGCTGACATCAACAACAGGAAGAGAGTTGCGCAGATCGATCTTGAACTGCAAAGATGGTGAGACAAATAGTAGAACTGACTATTTCTCCGTTGAACACAAAGTTCTTAGTAAGAGTAGATCCCTTCGAAAAAGGGAAGGAGGGAGGGAAATCCGTTTTACATTTTTGTTGTTTGCTTAGGCATATCATCTTACAAACGCACCGCCGCCGCTGGCACCGAGCTGGTTGCCCGTCATCCATCCACTCTCGGGTAGGCAAGCGATTCCGACAATGCCGGCCACTTCCTCCAAGGTACCTGGTCGACCGCCAATCTCGCCCGCTAGCCTGAGCATATCTTCAGAGTCCACACCAGGTCGTTCCTTGGCTAGCGGAATCAGAGCATTGTACATTCTCAGTGCTTGCTTTGGGGCTTCGGGGAGTCCGTTGAGTAGGCCAGTGTCCATGGGCCCAGGAGAGACGCTGTTGACAGTGCAGCGCTCGGCGAGCTCACGTGCCCAGACACGGGTCATGGCTTCAATGGCGCCCTTGGTTCCAGCATAGGATGTCTGCTGGATAAGACCCCATGTCGTGGTTGCAGACGAGATGTTGACAATTCTGCCCGATCGATCATGGGGAAGGTAAGGGAACGCTGCTTTGATAAGTAGCGCGGGTGCTTTGCAGTTGAGGTTGAATGTCTGGTCCCATAGCTCGACGTCAAGCTCTTGGATGGGCTGGGCGTTCACAAGTGCCGCGTTGTTGATGATTATGTCAATCTGGAAGCTGGGAGTTGCAGAGGGGTCGGTGAAGTGCTTCTTTGCAGCCTCGACAAGGGCTGCAGGGGCTGAGGGATCGAGCAAGTCAGCACGCACAGGGACCGCCTTCACGTTGTATGTTTTGGATAGATGAGCTGCGAGATCAGCAGCAGTCTGATCAGAAGCTGAAGTGGCGTAGTTGATGACCACGTTTGCACCACGTTCGGCAAGATGTTTTGCGACTGCGGCGCCGAAACCTAAAGTGAGGGGAAGTCTGTCAGTGCTTGATCTCACGACGCATATCGTCATGAAAAAGACGACATCGGTGACTTTGCAGTCAAGTCACACTTACTCCTTGAAGATCCAGTGACAATGGCAAGCTTGCCTTCGAATACCCTTGCTGTTGCCATACTGTCGGATTTTTCGTAGAAGTTTTGTAGGGGTCAAATGAATTTAGTCTCGGAATGTAACAAGGTTGGATATGTACTTGGGGATTGGAAAGAGAAGGAAAGCTGCACGAAACACGCCGTTATGTAGTATCGGACCTATCTTCCAGCGGTAGCAATTGACAGTATCAACGTCCGCTTGACAGCCTCGAGTAGCGACTGTAGCGGGGAACCCTTGACTTGATAAAACCTTTAGAGTAAGGACTAGGATCGGATTAGTATAACCCCGATGTGGAGTCGGACGTCAGGTCTCGCCTCGATCGGGGCGGTGAAGATCTTCATTTCACTCCAACGGGGCTGCACAAGCGAGGATTGGCCGAGGAAACGCCTAATTATCGTATGAGAAAATGCGTGGTGAGTTACTTAGCAAGACAGGGATGATAACGCAACTGTTGGCCGAGATTCTTCGAAAGGGATTATGTCGAATTTTATTGCAAGCAACGACTAGCTGGGTTGTGTACGGAAATTGTTCTCGAATAGAATGGAAGACTGAGAAATGCATATTTTTGCCAAAGGTCCTGACACGTGCCGATACAACACGTCAATCCCTTAGCAAGGGCGGCTGTTAATCAGTCTTAGCACGCGGGTTAGAGCCTGTGTGCCCAGTCTTGCATGCTCAAACACAGCCTTGCGCGTGCACGTGTGCTAGTGCGAAGATATGCAAGCAGACGTAACCTTTGAGACGGGTGGGTTTTTGGTGTTTAGGACAAGCGCACGAACTACTTACCTCGTTCGGTGGCAGTACATACTTACATCCAAGTACCCTGCTCAGAGATGTTGACAGGCAAGCATACACCTGCTATCGTGATATTAAGCGCTGGGAAATGTGATAAGAAATTTGGCGATGTCTTCGGTCCCATGGTGCTACGATTCATAGTCGCAACGTCGAGACAAGAGACATGCCTTCCATAGATGCGGCTAGCTTGAGACGAAGACGGAAAAAACTCCTATTGGCCTGGAAATGTTGTTCGCGAATGGCATGCGAAAAATCTTCTAGTCGTGAGGCTCGTTTCATATGGAATGTCCACAGTGAAGTGGGTCGGGGAAGATATGCCGCCGCGCGTAATGCCGGCACTATCGGAACGGTAGTGGCTCAAACTAGCGCACATCCCGCGCAGGCACCCCCCCGTTGGCCATCCTCGAGCCTTAATCCTTGACGGCTCGACTCCGGTGCTTGAGATCGGCACAATAGAGCGACTGTTGTGACTAAGTCGATACAGCGTTGGTGTACCAGGGCGACGGAACCGAGATGCAAACGGGCTGCCCGTTCCAAGTGCGGCTCATAGCAGAATGCATCAATGGACTCCAGCACACGGATATCGTACGTGATGCCTCAGGCACTGCCCTTGTGCATACTCCCTTCCATCCCTTTATTTTCTCCACAGACCCCACGACCTGCAGGACCAAAAGTCTAGTCCACTCAATCGTCACGCTTCATAACAGTTGGCTGGCCCATCTGCGATTTCTATTCACCTTTAAGGACTGTAGACAGACGTAGTCACCATGGCGCCAACATCCTATCCCATGGCTCTGGCCGTCCTGGTCCCGCTTCCTTTTGATATAATTTCTACTATTCTGAGGTTCTGGATACGGACAAAGAGGAAGGCGTGGGGTGCTGATGACTGGGCCATGCTGATCAACATTGTAAGAGCTCTGGATCCACAATCCTGTGTACAACTTGACTGACACTGATACAGCCCTTTTGGAGTGTAAGCACAATTGCCACCATTGGGATGGCATGGAGTGGTATTGGACAATATGATGCCACACTCACAGAGTCTCAATACATGAACTCTCTACGGGTATGCTTCTCCCCCCTATTCGCTCCGTCAGCAATATAGTAACCCACGAGCAGTGGTTCTACGTCTTCCAGGAACCATGGTGTTTTACCCTCATCACGATTAAGTGCAGTATCGGATTCGCTCTGATTCGAATTGCAAGCGGCAAGAAATGGATAGAATATGTCATCTACATAAGCATGTTTTCTTGCTTCATCGTCATGGGTGGAACAGGCATGTACCTGTTCTTCCAGTGCATGCCAGTGCAGTGAGTAGTCCTGAATCACTCACAAGGGAACAACAAGTAATAACACACAATCCAGGAAGAACTGGGACACAAAAATCGAAGGCTACTGCCGCGAGCGCAACACCCAAACCATCCTCTCCTACGCCGTAGCTGTAGTATCCATCTCGACAGACTGGATCTTCGCCACGCTCCCCATATTCCTCCTCTGGGATGTCCAACTCGACTGGCGCGTAAAGGGCGGTGTAATGGGCATGTTGGGTCTCGGAATCTTGTAAGTCCATTCCACCACCAACCATCCATCTCCTTAGAACTAACACTTTACCCAGCGCCTCCATCGCCCCCATTGTCCGCCTAAAATACCTCATCGGCCTCAACGACGCCTCCCGCCTCCTCCAAAACCTCAGCGCAATCCTCGCCTGGGCCACCGCCGAAATGAACGTCGGCATGTTCGTCGCCAACCTGCCCGCCTGCCACCCCTTACTCAAACACGCCATCGCGCGCTTCTCCACCTGGTCCGGTAGTAACTCGCGATCCTACGCCTCAGGCATCTTCGGCCCTAAGAAACCGCACGCGGGCGGCCCCTCCGCCAGCAACGCCATCGACTCTAAAAACAAGTGGCTCGAACTTGACGACCAGCAGCAGCAACAGCAGCGTCCGGAGTCAAGTCGTACGAGGAATTATTTAAGCAATAAGAGTAAAGAGACGGGCGTGGAGACAAAGATATATGGAGATCTTGAGGATTATGGGAGTGAGGAGAGCTTGGATGCAAGGGATGATGGGAGTCAGAAGAGGATTGTGAAGAAGGCGAGTTTGGATGGGTTGCAGGTTAATGTGCAGAAGGACTTTCGGGTGGAGATTAGTGACAGGTTTGATGGGAGAGGGAGAGGGAGGAAGGAGGACTTGGATAGGATACAAGCCGATCGGGTGTAGAGAAGGGTCGGCTGGATCGATCGAAAGGGAGGGAGGTAACGGATGAGATGAAGTATTAAACATAAGAATAAACATGTATTATATGAGTTATTTACAGGTATTTACAGATGTGCCAGTGCGAGTGAGACGCTTGTACTTTCTAGTGGATAGTATGGGGGTAGTTAGGGGCTAGGTGAATTTATCAGAAGTTGGCTACCTTGGTGCTCGCCCGTTGTAATCCACACCAGGCACAGCAGTATAATTCGCAAAACAATCATACTCGAAATCAATCTCTGCACTCCTCTTCCTGAGTACCTCGACCACATTGTCGAATGCACAAAGTCCATCCGTGTCCTCGGGACACCCAGGATGAGACTCGTGGATCGGGATAACAGCGTCGTTCCTACACAAATTCATTAGCCAAACAACCCCTCCTTAGGCAAAGATGGAGAAAGAAGAGATGTTTTTTTTTAAAAGAAAAAAAAGAAAAAGAGGGATGCAACATACACAATAAACCTAACCTGCCTACTCGGCACCTTCTCCCTACACTCAAGCACCTGCGTCGTAAAATGCGTCGCAAACGGCACTAACTTACTCGCCACAAACGTATTCGTACCCTCATCCCCTCGTGCACTCAAAGGCTTCCCTTTAAACAGCGCAGTGAAGTTAAACGCCACAAGCACATCCATCACCACAACCTCATGCGTCGCATCCGCATAGATACTCTGATCAAGCGGGAAATACGTCGATGTATTATCAAACGTCTCGTTCAGTGCCGAATTTGGTGCAGGAAACGTATGAGTAAAACGCGCGATGTACTCGTCTAGATACCCCTTTCCCTGTGCAGCGGATACGGGGGAGCCGGGCCCGTTGTTGTAGTAGAAGGAGAGGTCAAAGTAGTGTTCGTAATTCAAAAAGTCTTGTTCGCTAAACAAGGCGCAGAAGGGTGAGGAACCCAAAGCGTGGGTTTCGTAGGAGCAGAGTTGGAGCATGGAGATTGCGTCGGAGGGGGTTAGGGTTATGCCGTGGGCTTGGGATTGGAGGCGCGCAAGTGTGGCGTTGAAGGCGTTGGACGCGAATTGAGAGGCGACGGTGCTGCCGATACTACCGCGAGAGGCGATGTTGGAGTTGTTGCAGACTTCGTAAGGGGCGCCGGAGTTGTTGACGCCGCGGGTTTCGACAAGGATTTCGACGTTGACTTGGTTGAGGTATTCGGGAACGCCGAAGAAGCCGGCGGCGAAGTTTTCGGCTGTATGTACCATGCGGTCTTGACTTTGGGTTCTGAACACTGGTATCTTTCCGGATTGGGTGAAGTTATTGAGGAGATGGCCGTAGAGCTGGCGATATTCAACTCCCAGCATGAAGTTTTGGCTGCGACCGAATGGTGTAAGAAGTTCAGCACCTAGCTTGTACCTCCAGTTGCTCAAGAAGGCGAGTTCTCCAGAGAACGAAAGTCCGGTTTTGGTGGTATTGGCAAGTTTCGAAGCGAACTTCGCTGGTGCAGCGTCACTGGTGGGATACCTGGCTCCATGACGGTACAGCAGGTGCATTTGCGTAACCTCGCATCCTTCTGGAGCCAAAGGACTAGCATCCGGTAAACTATAATCGGCGCTGCGAACAGAGTACCACGGGCTGAGATTACCCCAATACTTTGAAATGTCAAAGTCAGGAGATTGAGGTCCGCTTCCATGCGGCTGGGGCTTGATCAGTGGCCAGGAAAATGCAGCCTGATCATTATACGGATAGGAGGGTGCAGTTTCGATGGCATTGGGCTCGACTCCAGTTGGTGTCGCTACATCTCGTGTCAATGTTTGCTCTTCTTACCACGTCCTCAAATGCACTCACGTCCAGGAAACCCAACTACCGACTCCGGCGGAAAAAGCGAAGGATCGGCCTGAGCTACAAAACATACACTATTAGCATCCTTCCCTTCCAGCCATAACAAGAAAAAGACTTACTCCCAGAAGGCGGATACACATTCATGGTACTCCTCCCCACATCCTCCGCAGCCGAGAGTGTCGTCGTCATCGAAGGCGGCGCCGCACCAACCCCCGCAACAACCAGCGCAACAACTCCAACCCGTCTCATCTGCATCTTCATCGTCTCTCTTTCTCAACACCGACTTCAAATCTCTCCCGTCTCTTCACACGCAAAGTCCGGTTAAGAATACGAAGATAACAGAATAACAAGCACACCAAGCTTTTCCCGCCGAGTCGCTTCTTTCACCGTTTTAATTTACAAAAGCTTGACTGCATTAGCCACCTTTTATACCTACCATTCTAAGCTTCCCCGACATGGCACTATTTTTTTGACAAGTACGTCGTCCTTTCCGCCTCATAACACTCATAGCCAATCAGGCGCGTGGACTCATGCACATGTTGACATTAGCAAGGCTGCCGGATGAGCGTGGAAGCAGGGATGGGGACGCGGGAAGGATGTGCGCTGACGTCTGCGAAGGTGTTGGGGTAAGCGGGAGGTACGGTTGGAGAAGGAGAAGAGTGGGTGCGGGAAGGAGGGGTTCGGATTGGGTGCGGTGCAGGACATCTTTTTCTTTTTGCTCCGCGGTATTTCTTATGTTCTAGTTCCCAAATTTGAGGTTCGGGGTTGTGATGTAGGATGTGGTAGTATATGGTAGTATATGGTACTTCATTTCTTTTTTCATCTTTTGCTATAACCATAACAAAAGGGATGATTGTACAGGACAGGATATGGGGAAGCGGAGCAAGTGGAAAGTATCATCCGGGGGCAGGGCAAAGCACACTGTATCGATTTGAGCTAAATCACTGGCTTTACCCTAGCCACCGCAGATCAAAACGAGTCATACAGAACAGAGATGGTAAAAATTTACAATGGCAGGAACCGGCATTTTAATTAGAAAAGAGTTAAAATCTGGTTTATACAGTAAAAGAAACAGCTGAAATCATGACCTTGCCCCTATTCGAATGCCTCATTCGTGAACCAAAAGATTTCCCAAAAACACCTAAACCAATGCCTTGCCCAGGGCAGTCCAACAGTTTGTCATCGTTAAATCTCATAACCCAGAGTCATGAGCCGCTTTCATCAGTCGTTAACGAGCTCCCGTCGTACTACGCCAAAAGGAACAGAAGATTGCGCCACTTTTTTCGCAATTTGATGTCGTATGGAAATGATACCAGGGAAACACAGAATAAGAAGATATGGAACCGACAAGTCAGTCGTTCCGTGCAGTCATCTACGAAGTCTAACGTCTACTTGTGATGCGTAGAAGAAGACGTCTAAGCAATGGGCCAGCGAGCACGTAAGCCCTGGGTCCATTGGCCATAGAGAATGTCAGCAAGCAGTGCTTGTTGCTCCATACCAGGCTCAACGTAGCCTGGTAGTTTCTTTTCATCAAACGCTACAAGAGTCTCAGCACCAAAGCCCTTTTCGCCAACGACGAGTGCGCTCTGGGGACGTTTGTGGGATTTGAGTTGTGGAGACTTCTTTGCAGGTTTTGGCACTTTAGTCGGAGAGCCGCCACTCATGGGTGTTGCTGGAGTTGAGGGAGTGCGTTCACAGTCTTCTGAACTTTTACTGGCCGTTGTTGAGATGGATGTATTCGAAGTGCTGGGGCGGATTCGACTTGTTCCTGATCCGTGCACAGTGGTACCTCCCAGGCTGATTTCGCTGGTCTTGGTATTGTGCCTGTATGGTGATTGGGATGACGAGACTTGAATACCGAGTGCTGAGGCAAGCTTCGCATCATTCTTCAGACGATCGACGATGTTCTTGAGAAGCATGAACTCGCCATGTGGGTCGACTTCATCCAGATGCTGCCATGCCTGAGCGACGCGACCAATCGCATCTCGCTGGCGAGGTGATGCAGTGTCTGCGTGTGCTTCCTGGAATACTGAATCCAAGACTTTGCTATAAGCCCGCCGGCCGTACAGTGCATCTTTGGTAATCGGCATATGCGCATTGTCAGGACTAGGTGGCTCGTTCTCATTGTTGAAATCGAGCGGATGGTTAGAGTTTGGTGGAGACGGCCGAAAAGTGCGGGCCTCGGGGTTTGGATGGAATGACTGGTTGCCCTGGCTGGTTTGTTCGTTTGTGTTGTTTGAGCGTGTTGGAGCACGACGCTCATCTGACGAAACACGTTTAAAGTGCCGCACAGTCGATGGGGAGTTGCCAAATGTGAGGTCTACGCCCAGTGGCTGCTTGCTGGCGGCGTTGGCATTGGTAACGTTGCTGAGATTGCTAGGCTGGCCAATGTTGCTAACTCGGCGGGCAGTTGGTGTGTTGCCAGAAGGAACCCGCAACGCCGTGACTTGAGACTGTGGTCGAGGGGGTGTTCGACGACGTGTTGACGCTGGTGACTCTGTGACGTCACCCAATGGTGCTGCGTTGAGGTCCATGCGCTGCATCCCACCCTGTGCCTCGTCGACGGTGGTGGGTATCCGAGTGGACTTCCGTTGCAGTTGCTTCATGGTTTGCCGTGGCGCCACCGTTCCGCGCTTGACTGTGTCGAAGTCCCATGCATCATCATCTTCGGCTTTGGCGGAGAAGTCAACCCTGCAAAGCTGTTAGCATCTTCTTGGAAGAATGTGAGTATACACTAACATTGTCTCTTCATAGTACTTGCGCTGAGACGCCGCCTGCTGCTCCCTCTGAGCGTCCCACATCTGCTTGCGCTCAACCAACTCGCGGAGGGCTTCAACCTTGCCTGCTCGCTGAATGAAGCGATGCTTCAACAGTTCCTTGGCTGATGCACGTCGATCGGGATCCTTGACCAGGCATTGAGCTATGAAGTCTTTGAAATCCTTGCTCCAGTGGTCGCCCTCTAGCCTAGGTGCTGGATTTTTGGGAATCGTGAAGAGCACCTTCATGGGGTGGGATCCTGCGTGCGGAGGTGCGCCCTCTGCCAATTCCATGGCTGTGATACCCAAGGACCAGATGTCGGCTCTAAAGTCATAGCCAGCCTCCTGGATCACTTCCGGAGCCATCCAAAACGGGGTGCCAACAAAGGTCATGCGTTGAGATTTCATGTTGGTGAGCTGGGCGGCAACACCAAAGTCGGCCAGCTTGACCTTACCTTGGTCGGTGAGGAGGACATTGGCAGCTTTGATGTCTCGATGGATTTTGCCAGACGAGTGGAGGTAGTCGAGCCCGAGGAGAAGTTCTCGACATGTGATGGCAATGTGTGCTTCACTGAAAGTTCCGGGTGCCAACTAGTCAAATTAGTCAAGAAATCGATGGAGGGTATGTAGTTGAGCATACCAAGTCGGCGGCCGACCCTCCGCCCAGGTACTCCATGACGATCCATAGCTTGACGCCCTTGACGAAGCTTGTCTTGTACTCGGTGACGTAGGGGCTGTGACAAGTGCTCAGGAGCGAGATCTCTGCCTGGATATCGGCCAACTCTTCGGTGCTGTCTTCGAGGTCGATCTATGGGGGATGAGTATGGGGGATCGCCCGGGGTAGGTGTGGATGCATACGTGTTTGATGGCCACAGTCTCGCCGGTGGTCTTGTCGATTGCCTTGAAGACCTTGCCGAAGCTCCCGCCTGTAGCATGGTCAGCGATTGTGGGTAGTGCAGGGGATAATACGGACTGCCCAGCTCCTCCATGACCTGGTAGCCCTCGGCCATGGTAGGCGACATTTTGGATGGTCGTAAGCTGCGGTGTGAAGTAGCGGTAAGACAAGTCGCGAGACGAGGGCAGGGCGCGCACGGCGAGCGGATCCAGGAGAAAATGGCAGATAGTAATAGGGTACGGGATGGGATGGTGCTACATGTCCGTAGCGATGGTTGGTGATGGTGTATATCCACTGGAGCGCAGGGTCCTCAGCCCTGCCATCGCCGAGGCAACGAGCTGGCCTCCATCAACAAACGCACAACCCCCCACCATGACGTTGGTCTGGTATTGCAACGAACACGGAGCCGCAGGGCACCCAAGCTGAAGCCGCCACAAAACCAAATTGAATGACGGCGTTGCAATGCGACTCAATTAGCAGAGCCAATGTCGGAACGCGACTTCGCGCCAGGCTAGCAGACGAAGAAGAGCAGCGGGTTCCTGGCCGGCAAGACGGCGGGTACACCATCTCGATGGCTTACTATCCGCCCTGCATAAGCTCCACAGCCAGCGGGTAGTGGCAGCGGAGGTGGTGGCATCGACGTTGAGCCCCCATGGCGGGCTTCTGGTTACCAGTTACATGTGCGGGCGGATGGGAGGCCTTGGGCGGGCCGCATTGGGAGTGCCGAGGCGGGATGCTTTTTGGGTTGGCGCGGAGGAGAGAGCATGGCGATGCGGTTGCCAGGACAAAAAGGCGCCTCACTGGGCAGCGTGAGCGGCAGTGCATCAACCATGACATCTCATCACATGGGATGGCGGTCCAGAGCACATTCGGCAGACAGCGTGTTTCAGGGCAGGGCGGGCAGTGGTTGTGCGTCTGCGGCTGGCAACCATGTTTGTGCTGGTCGCACGAGGCGCGAATAGCCTCACCAGACAGGCCTCGTGTGTATGGATGCTTGGTCTACACATACGCTCGTGACATGCGGCCGTTCACCGTAACAACACGACGGACAGGATACAGACAGAAACACACAGGCACATTCACAGTAGCGTTGCTGTTGTTGCATCCAGGGGCTTCCTTTTTTTTTCTCAATGGTCGAATTACGTGGCCTGGCCCCTCATCTCCGAAGATGGCAATCCAATCCAATCCGTCCATAGATGCGGCCATGGTATTATCAGACACGGGGGATGTGCATGCCAGGCACGGCGCATGCAAACAGGTGCTTTTTCGACGTGTCGTGCACAAGGCACTGCCACGACACAGCATCGCGGCCGTGACTGCTCCCCTACTCTGCTGCAGACTACAAAAGATGTAGTCTCCAGCGTTCAGCGCGCCGTTGAGCCACCATGCAATTCCTTCCTACACATGGACAAGGGCACGCAACCAGGCAACCCCCAGGAACCTCAGTGCCAGGAAATGGCTCCCAATCCGGCTTGTTTGTGGCCTGAGCTCGTGAGCGCATGAGAGACACGGGTTCAAAGACTACGGCTCCGGCTGCAGCGCAAAGGAGATGAATGCTCGCTGTCTGCTCTTGACATCTCTCACGCCCGCCACAAATGCCCTCCTCAATGTCTCCGGCATGGGTTCTCGCTCCACCGCCGGTCCAGCGCTCTTGAGATCGTGGTTCTCTTGGTTTCGAGGCTCGCTGCTGCTCCGATTGGTCGGCCCACCCACAGCCCTTCTGGCCCTCTACCTCGAAGTCTACGGCAGCTCCCCAGCCGCCGCCTCGCTTATTCTTCACCGACTCGCTCGCCGCTTTCATCTCCCAACCCTCTTCTGTGCACTCGCAACCACGCAACGTAGGCCGAATCCTCTGTCAGATCGTGGCCTACCACCTGCCATGGATCGAGCACAGACACAAACCCTGCACCACAAAGGGGCAGACCCGTCATCCCACGCCGAAATATCATCTGCCCACGCCGCCTCCATGCCCGCCTCTCCCTCCCAACCTACTGCAAAAGCCATGTCGGCGCACTCCCGCTCAAAGACGGTGGACATTGTTGGCCAGGGCAAACGCCTCTCGCTGCAGTTCCCTATTCAACCCACTGCATCCACAGCCACTCCCGCATCTGCCACACGCACGCGCCCCCAGTCATGGATGAATGGCACCTCACCCACCCCCTCGCCGGAGCCCCAGGAAACGCATCATGAGACCAACATTCTCGCCGTTCTCGCTACCCAGGAGCGCTATGTACTGGAGCTCAAGGAGGAACTGAGCAAGGCAGAAGCCGATTTGAACATGCTCAAGTCGCATTGGGCCCGCCATGAAGCCAGCAAGCGCCACAACCAGGTGCGCAGAGTGGCTCCGCTGCAACCTCTGGATACATCACTTGCGAATTCCCCGCCCACCCTGTTCGATGACGATGCTTCAGGTCTGTCAATGCAAAAGGAAATGGAGCGCAGGAAGAACCTCCTCAGCCACTCCAAGCCCGCACAACGCAAAGTCTTCAGTGGTTCGCGCCATTTGCGCACCCTATCACTCCTCTCCCCAGACCGTGTCGACTCGCCTTCCTTCCCCCACACTGCGGACCTTTTGGACAACCAATCCCCCAACATGCGACCTCTACATTCCGCGCGAACATCCACTTCGTCCGAAATCACGCGCCCACTAGTCTCCCCCGCCGAGCATGACCGCTATGACATGGGTGGCATGCCAACCATCCAGCGTGAGCAACTCATCCGTGCCGGCACACAAATGGCCACAGACTTCAAGAAGGGATTGTTTACTTTTATCGAAGACATCCGTCAGGCTACCGTTGGTGATGAGGCAGTTCACACCACCGACTCTGCTTCTGGTTCCGCTAGCGCCAAGGGTCCCAAGACTAACCGCAAATCGTCTGAAACTCGCCCCCCACTTAGTCGCTCTGCTAGCTCCAAGAAGTCGACGCAACAGACTGGCTCCTTTGGCGATGACTTTTGGAAAGAAATGGGCCTCAGTGACCCCAAGGCTACGGCCACGAACAAAAAAACGCAGGCAGTCAAGAACACAAGCACCCCACAAAAGCAAATACGCAAGGTGGCTTCAGAGGAAGACTGGGACAATTGGGATACCCCCAGTGACTCGCTCCTAGTAGACGTCACGGATCTCAAGGACAGTTCGGACGACTCTGATACCCACAATTCATCCATCTCCGGCCTAGACAGCTCCAATACCAGCAGCAGCGCCAGATATCATGCCAAGCGCCATGATTCCAAAGCCTCGTCGCTCACCTCGATCAATCAAGACGACTTTGTACCCCGCGAACAAAAGCGCTCTTCTCTCACCTGGCCTGACATGACAAAAGTCTCGCCCAGCAACCTGAAGCGTACGGCTTCGCATCTGATGAAAGAGTGGGAGAAGCAGCTGACGCCTCCCCCAGAGTCGAGAAACCAAGACTACGCCCATGGCGACTACATGAATTAACGAAGGGTTTTGTAGCGTTCCCACCAGTGATATCCAGCATTATGAAGCCACGCCACCACAAGTCAGTGTATTATTCAATATTAACCACATGTACTAGGCGGTTTTTGTAAGCAGCGTTTGAAAAGCATGGCGTTGGCGCAATTGTAAATAAAGCGTTGAGACCTAGCTTCGGGCAGACAAGTATTGTCGATAGAAGCATAATGAACAAATTTGAGCAAATTGATAACAGTATTTCTTTTTCTTTATTTGTTTCATGTGGGTACTCATGTGCAACCATCCACCGCCTTTCTACAAAAGATGGACTGTTGGGAGAATTGCCAAGCCCCGCAACCCGGCACATTCCGTCCTCCGCTTTGAACTCCGCAAAATGTTCCTGCGTAGTGGCGGCGCATCGCAATCGCATCGCAACAAGCAACAGCCACCTCATCTTTTCCCTCTACACTTTCTTGGTCCTCCTTTCTCTTTCCTTTTCGATTACCAGCCATGGCGTTTCCAGGAGGCCCGGGCGCGATGCCGGCATCCATGAACCCAACCGCTGGCATGTCAGAGCAGGAACAGCAAATGGTGAAAGCGGTATGGACGACCTAGGAATGCAGCACGGACATCTAGCTCACAATTTGTAGATGCAAATGGGCATGGAGTCTTGCCTAGGCAAGACGGTGATGGCTGGTGTCATGGGAGGAGGCCTGGGTGCCATGTTTGGACTGTTCATGTCGTCGGTATGTATCCCCAATCTTCATCCAGGTGAGAGAGGACGTAGTCTAACATGCGTCAGATGCGATATGATACACCCATGTCACAACCACTTCCCATGAACACACCAACTACCCCAGCACCTAGCACTTCAACTGCAGCAGGTGTAAAACCCTCGACAGTCGCTTCAAGTGCATCCTCTTCCTCCGCCGCTGCCGCCCTGCCCAACCTCACTGCAGCAGGGACCGTCCCAATCACCGACCTCCCTCTAAAGCAGCAACTCCGCGCCGGTCTACGCGACATGTACCGCTCTTCCATTTCTTCTGGTAAGAACTTCGCCAAGGTCGGCGCCATATTTTCGGGTACCGAGTGCGCAATTGAGGGTCTCCGTGCGAAGAACGATCTATACAACGGTGTTGCAGGAGGATGTATAACAGGAGGCATTCTGGCAAGAAACGCTGGGCCGCAGGCTGTGGCTGTGGGATGTGCAGGCTTTGCTGTCTTCTCGGCCGCGATTGATGCCTACATGCGTATGCCAGAGGACGAGAAGAGTAAGCCTATCGCATAAGAAAAATAGGCGATGTTCATGTGGAAAAAGAATTTGAACGAGGTGACAAAGATACGGGGGGTTTGAGGGCCACGATGTACGATTACTGTATACCACTGTCGGTTAGAATTGGGGCATGACTCGCAGCTTTAGCATTGGGCGGCGTTTAGCGATATCGCGGATTCATCTCAGGAAAAATATAGACTCAGCTGTGTTGTGTTGTATTCTGGTAGTAGATGGCATAATGCGACGGTGTAGTTGAATGTCTGGAATGGTACATCTATCCATCCACCATGTTGATAATCAAAACGCAACTAAAAAATAACCATCGTACTGACTTTTGGTTACAAAGTATATATAGTTACATGTACTGCGAACTCCAAAAACAACTCATCAGTCCTTGTCAGAACATATCGGCATTGGTAGCCATGCTGTAGTCATTGGCTCTGACCAATCATGTCTTACGCGCTTTTTCACGCACCCCTCCAAAAAAAGTTGCGCCCCACTAATTTTACCGCCACAATGACCGAAATCTTTCCCACAAGCAACACAACGTTTTTGACCTAGTCATATACTCTTTCCTACAGGAAATCTTGCGACTGGCGAATAACCAGGAGTGCGCGTCACACCAAAGAGCAAAATACAGGATACAAACCAGAAAGAGAAGGGTCAACATTCAGAGCGCACACCATGGAACCCACACCTTCTACCCAGCAAAAACCCATTCACTCACTCATCCTTGATACGGGCCCTCTGATCAAAAACATCGTCTCTATCTCCACCCTCATCAACTCCGCCGAGGAACTCTACACAACCCCAGACATCCTACGTGAAGTCCGGGACGAAGCAACCCGATCACGTGTGCAAACTACTCTCGTTCCATTTTTGAAAATCAGAACCCCCAGCCCAACCAGCTACGACGCTGTTGTTGAATTCAGCAAAAAAACTGGAGATCATGCCGTACTGAGCAAACAGGATTTGGGTATTTTGGCGCTGGCGTACGAGGTGCATTGTGAGAGGAATGGGGGAACTTGGGGACTCAGAGAGGTGCCGAAGGGTGAGGTGAAAAGGAGGCCTGAGGATATTGAGAGGGAAAAGGCCGAGAAGGCCGAGAGGGAGAGGTTGGCCAAGGAGGCGGCGGCGGAGGGTGTGCTGTCGAAATCTGCGGCTAAGCGGAGGCGTAGGGCGGAGAAGGCGAGGAATGCGGCTGCTGAGGGTGTAGAAGAGGTGGCGGCGGAAGAGCAAGAGGCGCCGGAGAGTGGTGAGGTGGAGGACGAGGAGGGCTGGGAGCAGCCGACTGGAAAGCGTGCGGCTAAGGCTAGGGCGCCCAAGTCGACAAAGTTTAACTTCAAGCCTGCGGAAGAGAAGGTTGAGAGTGAGGCTGTTCAGGAACAAGAGAAGGATGAAAAGGTTCCAGCCGACGATGATCAAGAGGATGGGGGGGTTGCCATCACCCAAGAGGAAGTAAAGGAGCAAATTCAAGAGCAGGTTGCAGCGCAAGTCCAGGATCAAGTTCATGAGCAGGTCCATGAGCAGGTTCAAGAACAGATTCACGAGCAGCTTGCGGAAAAGGGCGAAGAGAAACTTGAGAGTCAGACTGTAGAGAAGGTTGAAGAGAAAGTGGAAAAGCAGGTCCAAGAGCAGGTCCAGGAGCAGCTTCAAGAGCAACTCGGTGAGCAGGGGCTTATCGAGAAGTCGGCAACAGTTGAAGTACCAAGCGCAAACATCCACGTTGAGCAAAATGCAGAGCTGGCTGTCACACCAGAGCACCTAGCACAACAAGAAGCTTCTGAAGCCCCTTCGCAGAAGCACACTCTCGAGCACGACATGTCCTCACTCTCCATAACCCAACAACCCACCCCACCCACCACCGACTCCTCAGCCGCAGACTCCGACTCGGACGGCGACTGGATCACGCCCACCAACCTCTCCAAGCACCAAGCCGCCGACTCAGACCTACAATCCCACCTCCAAACCGCCTCCAAACCCGTTCAACTTGACCTTGCAACCATGACCACCGACCACGCCATGCAAAACGTACTCCTCCAACTCAACCTATCCCTCCTCTCTCCCTCCCTCCAACGCATCAAAACCGTAACCTCCAAAATCCACCGCTGCCACGCCTGCTTCCTCCTCACCAAAGAAATGACGCGCCAATTCTGTCCTCGCTGTGGTCAACCCACTCTCCAACGCGTCTCCTGCAGCACAAACGCCAAGGGCGAATTCCGCATCCACCTTTCCAAAACATACACTTACAACAAGCGCGGCGATCGCTACAGCATCCCCAAACCCATTGCTGGCACGGCGAATACGAAGTGGAAGGAGGGATTGGGTGGTGGTAAGGGGGGGTGGGGCAGAGAATTGATTCTTGCGGAGGATCAAAAGGAGTTTTTGAAGGTCAAGGAGGAGGGGAGACGGAAGAAGGCGAGGGATGCGCTTGATGAGGATTATCTGCCTGGGATTTTGACGGGGGAGAGGGTGGAGAAGAGTGGGAAGGTGAGGGTCGGGGCTGGGAGGGATGTTAATGCTAAGAAGAGGTCGTGAGGATGTAGTTGAAGGGGGGAAGTGAAGAGTAGGGTGAACGAGAGCATAGTTTGGCAGGGGCCCGCATTTTGGGAATCCGCGGAATGGGGTTTCGGGTGTCCCGCTGCATCGGGTCTTTTTTTTCGCGCTAAAAAGGGGGCGTTTGTGGTTCATTGTTGATTAAATCAGGAATTTTTCTGGTGAGGTTGTGGCGTGGCTTGTGCTTATTCGTTCGTTTGGGAGAAAATACAGACGCCTCTGAAGACTTTTGCCGGCCAGTTACATTGCTGTGAATGTGTGATTTGATGGGATCGAGTCCATATACCATAGAAAAAATCCCGATTTTTCGGAAAGTAAATTGAGCATAGGATTAGGTCAAAAGACAGAGCCCATCTACTATTTTCCTCAATCTCTTCTTCCTCGCTTTGAAAAATCGCGCCCAAAGAATCTCTCTAAACATTCACACAAACAGTAGTGTCTCCAACCCAACATCATACATACCTATTCTAGCTAATTCCCCATCCTCCTCACTTACTTACCCTTATCCCGCAACACTAAAAGTATCTCGTGCATCTTTCACTTGCTGGCGCTCCACACCCCTTGCATAATCTAAGCATGTACACGCGCGCGTGCGGCGTAGGCTGCGGCGGAGTCGATTTGATAAGTCGGGATAGTTGTACCGGGTAGCGCGACACTACTCCTACCTTTAGCAAGTCCAAAACAAGAAACGTCTTGGTATATACAAGCAATGTCTATTTCGACTCATTTTGACAGTATGTGTGTGTAAGACGGGCAGGCCTGACGGTGGTACAAAGGGTGCGGCTGAGGTGTGTGTGTTATTCCCGTCGGCGGATGCTATTTTAGCAGGAGTGACATCTTGGGCCACTGCCTGGAATGTATACGATGGTAGCGAGAGACAGGATGGATGCCTTGATTGCGGCTGTAGAAGTCTGAGAAGAGAAGGAGGGAAGTGGATGGATGCGGAATGAGATCGATCTGCTTATTCCTTTTTGCCAGTGTGTAATGTGCTCGGTGAGGTGGGATATCCATTGGCTTGTGATACTGAGAAAAAAGGCGAGAGTGTGATTCGACACTTCTAGTTCGATTGGTATGCAAGCCGCTAGGTTGAAAGTCCCAGATATGTCTGCATCTCATACAGCTAGCATGTTTTGTGCTCTTGAATCGGCGGACTGCCTGGTATATCGCTGCGGGCAAAACGGTGCTCATCTCCGACGAATCAGGGACAACAGGCTTAGATGGTGACAAGAACGGGGTTGCAAGCGAAAGAAACCAACCTCGTAACGTTTCCCAACAACATAGCCTGCAGAGTGGAGGGAGGGACTGTAGAGGGAGGGGGAGAGGGGGGCATTTGGGCGTAAGAATGACATACGGGATTTCGTACTACCACACATAACCCTTGCATATCACTCACGAGGGCTGCGCCCAAACGCCTCGCTTATGCTCGAGTGAAGCATTCGATTTTGGGCTGACTCGGGGCACGCAGCAGGTTTGGCCAACGGGAGTGGTGCGGGCTATTAGAGCGCACATGAGCGAGAGCCAGGTGTGCTGGCGGTGCAGTGTTAAAGGGCGCCATGGAGCGGGCATTGCATGAGGGTTTGAGCATCTGCCTAGGTAGGTGAAAGCTCGGCAAACTAACGGTAAACAAGCTGTCAGAGGAACGGTGAAAGGAGTAGTGGTGGAGGCTATATAGAAAGGGGTTCGATCGGGTCTTGTTTCGCTGGAGAAATTCCATCAGTGGCTTCTTGTAGAACCTACTTTATTAGCATTAAAATTTCATAGTTGGACAGTATGCCGATTAGTAGTATATTAAGTTCGTGGACTTTAGTCTCCAAGTCGTATGTTCGACAGGTACGTTGCATCGTTGACCCAGAACCTTTTGCCATACTTATACGCGTTTAGTTCGTTAAGTCTCTGTACACTCCAAAGTGCAAAGAGGTTCCGAAGCAGGATCCATCTGCTGCGCAAAATGGATCAGTGAAACATGGAGACCACCGTGCACAGATTATAGCCCGGCTGCGAGGTCAAGAGATCCGTGTCCCAGATGTTCACTACATATACGCTGAGTGGAAAGCCAACTTACATCGTGACGTGGAGTTGTCGAGGCAACACCTCGAAGGTTATTTTGAAACGTTCATCAGTACAGAAAGCGTGAGAAAGAAGCAGAGAAAAGTCGACAACGCGCTGTGTGCTGGGCAGTTTTGGCCCCGCGTTTCGAGCGACAAATTTCTTGTCCTTGGAGAATTAGTGGCCTGGGTAAAGAACTCAACCTTCTTTTATTCATAGCCCATGCTGACTAGATACTCAGTTCTTCTTCTGGGATGACGAGATTGATTGTGGTACGCTTACGGATGATAATGACAAGACAGAGGCATATTGCGACGACACACTCAAGTTCATCAGGCACTGTCTGCAGCCAGAGCTTCAAGGCGAAGTACCAGCGCCAGGTCGATTGCACAACTGTGGGCCTTGGGTCAACATGGGTCGAGCCATGCAGGAAGGCCAATCCAAAGGTAGGATGTTTGATAAACCGTCGACAAGGGTCAGCTAACGCTTTTGACAGAGGCACGTGAAAGGTTTGCAGCAGCGATCTATGACTTTGTCATGGGTGTTCGTGTCTCACAAGCTACGTGGACCCGAGGCATATCCACACTCGAAGACTACACTGCACGCCGGTTGAGTGAGTGAGTGAGTTGTATTTAACGTCTATATATAAAGCCTCCCTTGGGGCATGTAGACGGGCTATGCCTATGGCTTGCCGTACTATGCCTAGGATGCCTATTCTTATTTACATGATTGTAGTGGTCTAGTAGTGGTCGTTCCGCCTGTTGATCGCCACTGAAATGATTGTGCAGTAGGTGTGTATCCGCCTTTAGTTGTCGTAGCTGATGCTTACTAAGGAGTGTGTAGTATAGAGGACATAGGAAAGAGAAGAGAAGGAGAGAGAAGAGAGAGAAGAGAAAGAGAGAAGAGAAAGAAAGAAAATAGGAAGACAGGAAAAGTCTTACAAGTGTAGGCTCTAGTGAGGCCTATATATTGTGTTATAGAAACCTGTGATTTCTAGGAAGGCGGCAAAGTCCTCTGGCTCTTCCCAGAGCGTCTGGAGGTACTTGATTGCTTCGCTAGGTGTCCTAGGCGGTGCGTGGTGGCCGTC